TAAATTTACTTGAAATTGTGGTCAATTAATCCTAAGTTTAATGAAATTTTGTAATTTTTTAGGGTTTAAAATTTTTTGTTGTTGTCTCCTTGATAATTTTATTATTCAGCCCAGGGTAGGGGTTGTCTGTACTGAGAGGGTTTTAGTTTGGTTTACGGCATATTAACCTCAATGGGTTATTTAATGCAGACAAAATTTTTATTGCTGGTAATGTGTTTTTCTTCAAAAATATATTTCTGGGAATATTTTTCCTTGAAGGTTTGTATTGCCGCTATTTTTTTTTTTTTTTTTTTTTTCTTAAGTATTGCTGATAATAACTTCTTCAAAAATTATTGCTGGTAATAATTTTTTTTCTTTTTTTTTTTATTACAAAGTATTTCTGGTAATAAAACCTATTTTTACACAAGTTTGGGTGTTAACCATTTGACCATAGCTGGGACCCTAACAGGTCCTACTACCCTGAGTCAGGGTGAACCTGGGAACACCAGCAATTAAGAGGTGGTTCCACACTCCCCAAAACCTCCTGATCAGAGGCCTTGCTGCTGGACGTAGTTTATCGTCTTACCCAGGACGCGGATATAGTTTATCGTCATACCCAGGATACTATACGAGTGGGAGTAGGAATGCATTATTCTAATGTTAGTTCAATAGCCCTCAAATTATATGCATGTGCTTGTACATACATTAAATGGCAAAAGCACAAATAAATCACTTACGCACAACACAGACATACATGTGTACATTACATATGAACATGCAAAGTCACACGCACAGTGTATGACAGATAATCAGCTCTTCTTTTATATATAGATTAAATTTAATGATCTATTTTTTTTTCTTTCTAAGGCAATGGTTATTAATATTTTTTGACTCATGGACTCATTGCAGCACAGACACCTAGAATAACTAGCCCTTCAGAGACGGATAGACAAGCAGATACTCAAGAGTCTGTTTGCCTTTTCACGACAGTTGTGTATGCATTTCTCCAGACTGCACCCTCAGACACACTAAACACACATCACTTTTCAGCCAGCCACACTTGAAAGAAATTGTGATTAATTATCCACATTGCTATGTGAATATATATTTTCATATTATTTATTCATGCATGTAAAGGCTACACTTCCATAGCACGGTACTTATTACACTCAAATATGCATTTATACATGTTGCACCCTCATGCACACTGCCGACATCCCTTTTCAGCCGGCCAGATATTCACAGTCTGATTTACACAAAACTTATACGTGCATTTTGCCATACTGCACCCTCATCTGCACTGCACACACATCCCTTTTCAGCCAACCACACTTGAAATTGTGGTCAATTAATCCTGAGCAGTACATGAGAATATAATCAAAGTCATGACAAACCATGAAAAATGAGAATTATAACTCATTTTTATGGAGTTGCAAAAGACGGCAGTCGTGCAGAGAATGATGACATGTTTAAATGGTAAACAAGGAACCAACAGCTAGTCAAAATACACTTAGCAGTTGGCGCTGTAAGTAGTGACTGGGTGTGTTTTCTTTGAATGGAAAATTGTTGATTAGGACAAGGGCTTGATAGTGAATATAAATTTTAATTTTTATCTGATCCTATGAAACTATTCATGGGCCCCAGGTTAAGAACCCTGAAGGTATGAATATCCTTTTGCAAATTGACCCAATTTATATTAAATGAGTTACAAGGAAGGAAGGAAGGGTGAAAGAGAGAGAGAGAAAGAGGAAGGGAGAGAGAGAGAGAGAGAGAGAAAGAGGAAGGGAGAGAGAGAGAGAGAAAGAGGAAGGGAGAGAGAGAGAGAGAGAGAGAAGGGAGAGAGAGAAGAGAGAAAAGGAAGGGGAGAGAGAGAGAGAAGAGGAAGGGAGAGAGAGAGAGAAGAAAGAGGAAGGGAGAGAGAGAGAGAGAGAAAGAGGAAGGAGAAGGAGAGAGAGAGAGGGAGAGAGAGAGAGAGAGAGAAAGAGGAGGAGAGAGAGAGAGAAAGAAAGAGGAAGGAGAGAGAGAGAGAGAAAGAGGAAGGGAGAGAGAGAGAAAGAGGAAGGGAGAAAGAGAGAAAAGGAAGGGAGAGAGAGAGAGAAAGAGGAAGGGAGAGAGAGAGAGAGAGAGAAAGAGGAAGAGAGAGAGAGAAAGAGGAATGGGAGAGAGAGAGAAAGAGGAATGGAGAGAGAGAGAGAAAGAGGAAGGGAGAGAGAGAGAGGAGGAAGGGGGAGAGAGAGAGAGAGAAAGAGGAAGGGAGAGAGAGAGAGGGAGAGAGAGAGAGAGAAGGAAGGGAGAGGGAGAGAGAGGAGGGAGAGAGAGAGAGAGAGGAAGGGAGAGAGAGAGAGAGAGAGAGAGAGAGAGGAAGGGGGAGAGAGAGAGAGAGGAAGAGAGAGAGAGGAGGAGGGAGAGAGAGAGAGAGAGGAAGGGAGAGAGAGAGAGAGGAAGGGAGAGAAAAAAGGAAGAGAGGAAAAGGAGAGAGAGAAAAAGAGGAAGAGAGAGAGAAAAAGAGGAAGAGAGAGAGAAAAAGAGGAAGAGAGAGAGAAAAAAAAGAGAGAGAGAGGAGAGAGAGAGAGAGAGGAAGGAAGAGAGAGAGAGAGAGAGGAAGAGAGAGAGAAAAAAGAGAAGAGAGAGAAAAAAGGAAGAGAGAGAAAAAAGAGAAGAGAGAGGAGGAAGAGAGAGAGAGAAAAAAAAGAGGAAGAGAGAGAGAGGGAGAGAGAGAGAAAAAGGAAGAGAGAGAAAAGAGGAAGAGAGAGAGAAAAAAGGAAGAGAGAGAGAAAAAGAGGAAGAGAGAGAGAAAAAGAGGAAGAGAGAGAGAAAAAGAGGAAGAGAGAGAGAAAAAGAGGAAGAGAGAGAGAAAAAGAGGAAGAGAGAGAGAAAAAGAGGAAGAGAGAGAGAAAAAGAGGAAGAGAGAGAAAAAGGAAGAGAGAGAGAAAAAGAGGAAGAGAGAGAGAAAAAGAGGAAGAGAGAGAGAAAAAGGAAGGGAGAAGCAAAGAAAGGAGGAAGTTTTTTTCAATTTTTTTTTATCTTCAACTACATATGTGATAATGCCACAACATTATATATTGCTGTGTGGAACTGGAGGATTCCACAATCAGTTATCTTTACCCTCCTATCCACTCTTCATCATCATCTTGCGGCCTCAGCCGAGATTGAACTCACCAATACTTTGATTGGTGTAGTTCATAATCTTGTCAAGTAGCTGAATTCTTGATGCTTCGCTAGGGCTATCAAGGGTGTTTTTATCGTGACACCATCACTAAATGGATTGCCAATCAAGGCTAAGAGAGACTCCATTCACCCTCCTCTAAGAGCAGGTTGTGAATTCAGAGTTGTTCTCCTAGACCAGTTGCCATCCAAGGCTATATAACCCAGTCTGTCCTGCTATTTACCCATAGCTAGAGGGAGAAAAAAGAGGATTCACACCTTTCCCAAGGGTATTAGCACGTAAGTGAATGTAATGGATTCGACTGGAATTCGAACTCGGCTCTCCGATTCCTCAATCCAAGCCGCTATCCATTACTCCCACCGTGCCTCTCCACTCTTAATGTGACCCTCAGGCCTTGTACAGGGTGAATCACACTGTATTTAAAAAAAAAAAAAAAAAACAGACACAAAAGCTCCCCTTTAACAAACATAAAATAAGAGGTGTGGGGAAATGAAACATGGATTCTTGAACTCAAAGACAACTTACCTGAATGATTCCTCTGTGACTATTAAGTACCACATCTACAACAGAATCAGGAATCGGTTCCACATAGAAATATCCACTTCCTTTCTTGATTTCCAAAGAAGCCTGAAGAATCAATCAGAAAATTATACTGTAGACATTCTAAATAAACAAGAATTATCAGGTTTTTTTTTCTTGCTATTACTCCTATGAATTACTCAACCAACAAAGGCTGAAGAATGAAGCAGCTGAAACATTTTAGTAACGACAAAAACAGAAAAGAGGCATTCAATTAACCAAAATTTGGAATAATAGCGATGAAAACACACATGTTGAAACAAGAGGAAAAAATAACTAAAATTACATTAGTGTTAAAAAAAAAAAAACAACCAACTAAACCTTCAACACTGCATTATTTTTCAAGGGTGCACTACTTAATTTCAATCATGGTCATTTTCTGTTGCCAGAGCAGGATATGGCAACACAACTGTAAAATTCAAACACGCTATTATTCATTCATCCAAGTCACTTGCAGTGGCAGGATAAAATTTTTTGCTTAACAGTATGTTAAATGTTAATTGTAAAAACAAATTCAGATCAAAAAATATCAGGACCAGTGCTATAAAAAGAAAACAACACATATCATCGCATTTAATCTCCTTCGAATTAGTTCCCTTCTGAAGCCCCACACTTTATCCAGCATTGTTTCCACTGATGGAAACATTCCTAAAACTCATTTTTTAGGATATCGAGCAGCTGCATTCTCTTGCATTTCCTCAACATCTTGAAATCTTGTTCCTTTCAAGTGGGATTTGATTTTTGCAGAGGAAAAGTTTACAAGTAATAGGATCTATTAAATATGCTGGTAGTCAAACCTGGAGAATGTTGTCTGTAGCCAAAAACTGCCTGCTGCACAAGCTATGGTCACTGATAGAACCTCTGTGGTGTGGTGAGACAACCACACTCTACACACTTTCCTTCCAAACACAGAAGTAAGCAAGAACATTATAACTTAGAGTTCAGGGTCAGTCTGTGCCAAGCAGCTTCACTCTGCATAACAATCCTAATACTTCTTGATCAGTCCCCATATACACTGAAACCCTCACACCCAGCCTTCCACCGACTGATCAGTTAATACCACATGGAGTCCCCATTCTCAATGTGCACCAAAAACTGGGAAAGGACCACTGCGCATTCACAAGATAAAAACAAATACTACGTCAAGAAATGAGAATTGTTTACAATATATTTAACTGTTTTATTCAGGGCTTTGTTTGCTCAATCTGGTTTGTTAAGTAGCTGACACTGGAGACAGTTTCTACTCTTCAGCCTACCAACTATCTGCACATCCACACATTGTGACGTGTGACAGGCAACACAAACAGGTGGCATCTGAACTACCCAACAGCAAATCAGAATTCACTAAGGAACACTTTGGAAAATAAAGTACAAGGAATATAGTCCAAGCTTCCTTGTACTTTTCTTCCAAAATGAACTTTGGACAATTTGACAAAATTTCTTCCTTGTTAGAGAAGGATTGTTCGTAATTTAGAAAAGCTGATCCATAAAATTGACATTTTTAATTTTATGTATCACTTTAAATGTTATTTTTAGTGGATACTCATATCTAAGTAAACGTACCGTATATTTATGAATATCCACTAAAAATAACGTTTAAAGTGATAAAAAGATATTGGATTAATAAATAAAGAAATCCATTACTTCTTTAGAAAATTGCTTTGTTCACGTTTTGATAGAAAACTGAACAGATGTGAAAATTTCTAGCAATCTATAAGAATGATTTCACTTAAATGTCACTGTTCAGAACTTGCTTGATCAGCAAAGCTTCATAGTGGCCAAGTAGTTTAAGGCATGTCGGATCTAATGACGGTTTCCCTCTGTCCAAGTGAATGCAGGTTCAAATCCTGCCGAAGAACACATTTTTCTTTAATAATATTCAGGCAGGTACACAAAATAAAATATGCCTTTTAATAAATAAACGTTTAAAGTAATAAGAATTAAAAAATTATTTTTTTAGAAAATTATATATATATATATATATATATATATATATATAATATATATATAATATTAATAATATATATATATATATATATATAATAATATAATATATATATATATATATATATATATATATATATATATATAATATTAATATATATATATATATATATATATAATAATAATATAAATATATATAATATAATAATTGTGTAATATATATAACTAAAAGAAATAATCACACAAATTTACTAACGTAAATTGATTTATCTCCCTTCCCACTACAGATAGGACAGGAAAAATATAAATATACAATGATAATCATTATATGGTTTGAGACTGTGATAAAAGTTATGACAGAAGATTCACTCTTACAGTAGATCTTATTAGACATAATAAGCAATTAACAACACTAACTAATGTGACGGATAAAAGATTCGTTCTTACCGTAAATCTTATTAGGCCCAATAAGAAATTAAGAACAATAACTGATAATAAAATAGAACAATAATAATAATATTACGTAAAAAAGTTATGTGACAGAAGATTGTTTTTGTTACTACAGATCTTAGCAAGCATAGAAATTTTTTATGCTCAAGAACTTTCACTTATTCACTTAAGGGAAGCATTTAACAGGTTCTCTTTGGTATATCAGATTTGCTTTGGAACCATTTTTAAATAAAATTTATGACTAGGGTTAATTGCAAATGAAAGCAACCCCAGAAAGTGCAGAAAAAAAAAAAAAAACAGAAGTGTGGGGACCACTATACTCAACTTGCAAAAACACACCCACAAATTAGAATGAAAAGACAATTATTTTCAAAACTTACAATATTTGATGGATGATTAAACACAGACAAAGTGTCAGGGGTTATGTAAGCTTCATTGACCAAATTCAGTTCCAGTGATTGGATCACCTTTGTATTGAGTTTGGACTGGAAAAAAAAAAAAACTTAATAGATTTTACGATACAAAATTGAATGTTAGCTTGTGAACGACATTTACAACCTAATCTCAAGATATAACCAGTGAAAATTTGAAAATTTTAATAAAGTCAGTAGCACATCAATAAAAGAAATAAAATATTGCATGCAGTCCGCCATTAGAAAGAAAAAAAAAAAAACACACACAGAAAAATACAAGAAAAAATACAAACATTTTTTGAATTTACACTATTTACATTGTTCAGTCTGTTGCCCACATCATTGTCATATTCACAACGTTTCGGCCATTGTACACTCCGGCCTTCTTCAGGTGATATATGTTAGAATTTTGAACCAAACTCTGTATTTAGTTCACAGGGTAGATTGTTTTAGTTCCATGTCTTTTCTGGTTATCACAGTTTCAGTTAATTCCCTTTTAGTAAGTCAACTCCCCAAGTTTTTGTTCACCACTGCTGTGGCCAGGAATTGAACTTGCAGCCCTTATGGTCAAAGTCACTGGATTACTTCAATTAATGCTTTTACCCACTGAACCTTATGTGTGACAATAAAGATGAGGACAACTGTCTGAACAATGTAAATAGTGTAAATCGTTACAATACCTCATCTCGTAATTATAGACAGATGTTTAAAAATCTTTATAAAATGAAGAAAAAAAAAAAAAATTCAAGAAATCTTTAAATGCATATGTCACCAAATGTATACACTGCGTGGAATAAACCCATTCCAAAATACCTGCATGCCACCTTTAGAAAGTTGGGGAAATTAAACAGAAAGGTCCTTAACTTACCCAATGTTTTGTAAGACATTTCTTACATTTTGCAAAAATCAGTTCAAGAAATTAAATACCTCATTGATTTTTTTTTTCTTTATCAATTTCTTACGTGTTTTACGAAAGCCATTTTCCAACAAACATTGCAATTTTTTTTTTTTTTTTTTTTTAAATCAATTTTTTACATTTTTTAAGGAAGCAATTTTGCAAAAAATATCCCAATTTTCTTTTTATACTTTTTTTCTTCTTATCTAAACTTGTTTTCCATCAGGAAGAATCTTTCTCCAACCTGATACTAAAACTCATAATAAAACTATCAAAGACACCAAAAGGAAAAAAAAAAAAACTTCTGACTGAAAACAACTTTATTTTCTGAGGATGGCCAAAATGGTTGAAAGTAGTTAGAGAGAAAATGCCAGGCAATATATGTTTACTCATTCAGGAGAATGAAGGAGAGATAAAATTTCAAACCTAAATTGTCCATTTAAAATACTGCACTTATTAAAAAACATATAGAGCATAAATACAGAGAGTCGTTAAAATTGGATTGGCTTTTAACCCAGGACCCTTTAGACAAAAAGGGAATTAAGCTCTCTCAGGAGAAATTTCAGATTCTTTAAAATTGTGCATGTACATGCATATATTCTTTTCTAATTTTCTTAAAAGGTTAGTTAACATTAAATGAAAAAAAAAAAAAAAAAAAAAAATGGCAAATTTTTAAAAATATTTTTAAAGCATTTTCTGTTTTTTTTTGTTTTTTTTTTCAGGAGTATAGAAAAGAAAAAGAAAAGATTATGATGGAAAAGAAAAGAAAAGATTATGATGGAAAAGAAAAGATTATGATGGAAAAGAAAAGAAAAGATTATGATGGAAAAGAAAAGGAAAAGAAAAAAGATTATGATGGAAAAGAAAAGAAAAAGAAAAAGAGTATCATGGAAAAGAAAAGAAAAAAAAAAAGAGTATCATGGAAAAGAAAAGAAAAAAAAAGAGTATCATGGAAAAAAAAAAAAAAAAAAAGAGTATCCTGGAAAAGAAAAGAAAAAAAAGAGTATCATGGAAAAGTCATGGAAAAGAAAAGAAAAAAAAGTATCATGGAAAAGAAAAAAAAAAAAAAGAGTATCATGGAAAAGAAAAGAAAAAAAAAGAGTATCATGGAAAAAAAAAAAAAAAAAAAAAAAGTATCCTGGAAAAGAAAAAAAAAAAGAGTATCATGGAAAAAATCATGGAAAGAAAAAAAAAAAAGTATCATGGAAAAAAAAAAAAAAAAAAGAGTATCATGGAAAAAAAAAAAAAAAAAGAGTATCATGGAAAGAAAAGAAAAAAAAAAAGAGTATCATGGAAAAAAAAAAAAAAAAAAAAAAAATCATGGAAAGAAAAAAAAAAAAGTATCATGGAAAAAAAAAAAAAAGTATCATGGAAAAGAAAAGAAAAAAAAGAGTATCATGGAAAAGAAAAGAAAAAAAAAGTATCATGGAAAAGAAAAAAAAAAAAAGAGTATCATGGAAAAGAAAAGAAAAAAAAAGAGTATCATGGAAAAGAAAAGAAAAAAAAAAGAGTATCATGGAAAAGAAAAGAAGAGTATGGAAAAAAGTAAAAAAAAGTAAAAAAAAAAAAAGAAAAGAAAATACAAGCTTAATGCGTTTATTTATCTTCATTATGTTAGCCTAATAAAAACAAAATAAAAAATTACTTACATGTAATGAAATTCCATAAGCAACAAGGTATTTGGATATGTAATTGCTACACGACACTGTCACAATGACAGTGCCAGGAGTCCCAAGCATCTGCACATATTGGTGACCTGAAATATTTCACATAAAATCGTCATATTGATTTGGATGTTCCAAGTGAAGCTTAGATGTGGCACAGGGCCGAATGTAGGGGGCACCCTGTGAGAATCAAACTCACTACTCAGTCATAACTGTTCTAGTGAGACAAGCTTGCTAACCATTACACTGCATTGAGATGCCCCAATCATTATATTGATATCCTAATGAATGTGTATCTCTACCAAGAGTGGCCAATATTCACCTAAAAATATATGCATTCCATTATTGTAACTTACTACCCATAGATCCAGTAATGATTTTGACGCCAAACTTTCAACAGAAAGTGTGTGTGTATGTGTATATATATATATATATATATATATTATATACACACACATACAATGAAATGGATTAAGTCTGACAATTATTTAATATATTTTCTGTTTATACATTACTAGCAGTAGCGTCCGGCATTGCCCGGGGATGTAACAGTAAGAGAGAGATCAAGTATCGACCATCATAAAGACTGAAAAATTAAATTGACAAAGATTATTGTTTAAGGTTGACGTGCATGTCTTAATTAGGTTTTTTTTTTTTTACCGATTGAATAGAATTTTATTATAAACAGTTGTCTTGTAAATGGAATTTTTAAAACATTCTGAATGTAAAAATAAAGAAAAAAGTGTGCAAGACAATAAGAAACACAACCTGCCAAAAAAAAGTTTTGTTGAAAATCGGTTGAAAAATGTAGAAAATCCGATCCCATATATAAACGAACACACACACACACAAGCTGGGTTTTATAATAGGTATAACTCGATATGAGTTGTCCCCCTTTCATTCAACGATGCCTCTTAATCGTGTTTTCAAATTGATTTCATGCAAAAACAATTGTGTTTTTCCAATTTTTGGCACTGTCAGAATGACTGCAAGGTAATTTTACGTAGTCCTGATCGGTTGAAAAATGTAGGAAATCCGATCCAATATATAAACATACAGACACACAAACACACACAACCTGGGTTTTACAATAAGTATGATTTAATAAATACAATTTATTTAAGTAATTGCGCAATTTCTTAATTCATTCATGACATTTACCAACCTGTAGGACACAGGCATGTAGGTTCAATTCCTGTTGGAGAATGCATATTTTCTACAAAATTTCTCAAACATTCTGGCCCGTAAATGTATTAAATGCAGTTTAATTGAAAGACAGAGCATTTACTTAAATAAATTGTATATCTTAAAAATGACATATAAACACAAAATATATTAAATAATTGCCAAACTTAATCCATTTCATATATTTTCTGTTTATACGTTATTTTAATAGATAAAATTTATTTAAGTAAATGCTCTGCTTTTTTAATACACAGAAAATATATTAACTAATTGTTGGACTTTGTATATTTCATTGTTTACATTAACATGCGTTTCATGAGGCGATATGATCGACTGAGAAAAACCATCAGGGATTGTGTGTTTAAAAGCATTAATTTGAACTTTGCTAACCAGACGCTAAGTGCTATAGCACATCAGATTAAATGACAGTTCTGTGTAGGACACAGGTTCGATTCCTGTTAAAGAATGCCTATTTTCTACAAAATTTCTAACATTTAGGCCAGCAAATGTATTTAATACTGTTTAATTACAAAACAGAGCATTTAAATTGTATCTATTAAAATAACGTATTAAAATATATATATATATATATATATATATATATATATATATATATATATATATATATAGTTGTATAGGGCAGCAATCCTTCGTTTATGCATGTTTCATTAAAAATGACAGACAAGGTATTATGGTTAATTTTTTTTTTTATTTAATTTTTCTCGTGTTCAAACAGAATGTGTAAAAACTGTCCAAATGTTTTATATTTCTGAGCGCTTTCAGCTATACCTTTAGCCATTATCAAGAATGATTCAATTTTTCAGCTTAATTGAGCGTGTGCATTACGTGTATATTTTAGTGTGTTGTAGAGATGTTTTTAATTTCCAAATACGGTTAGCACATTGCGGCCTTGTTCATAGTTAATATTATTAAGAGTTGGCTTTTTCTTTTTTATTATCAAAGCTTCCATTATTTTTAATCTTTTTTTACAGGTGGATGAAGTTATTATATTTCTGTTTTCTACTAGTATGTTTCTAATGGCGTCTGTTAAATTTGTGTGTGCATTTAAATGGGTTCTAATGGAGCTATGATCAGTTTTTATACACTCTTTGTCCAGAAAAGAAAACTCTTGTTCGAACAAAAGAAAAATTAAATAAAAAACTTAACTGTAGTACCTTGTACAGAATACAAATACCCTTTTTTTTTAACAAAGAATTTAAATGCAATCTTATAAGCATTATATTTTTACCAAAATTCAACTCATTTCATCTATTATTTTTCAAGACAACTAGTGACAAACATTGTCAAAGTCTCATTTTTATTTATTTTAACTTTAATAATAATAAAATAAAAATTCTTTTGCTTGGTTTTGCTTGATGGCACATCAACACCTCTATGGGTTATTTAATGCCACAGGTAAAATGTATTGTTGCTAACTATTTTTTTTTTATATATAAAAATGAATTACTGCTTTTTTTTTTTTACTATAAAAATGTATTTTTGTTCTTTCATAGTCTTGTTTTTATTGGGGGGGGTCACTATTTGCCCATAGCTGGGACCCTAACAGATGCTACCACCCCAGGTAGTCAGGGTGAACCTGGGAAGAAGAGTAATTAAGAGGTGATTCCACACTCCCCAAAACCTCCAATCCCTTGCTGCCAGATGTATTTTATCGTCATACCTAGGACTATTTCTATTCATGAAGGAAAACAAGTTATCCCCAACTCTTCAAAAATAGAGTATGAAAGTTTGTAGGGACAGGAGAAAGATAGTAGTGCTGGTAACCCCCACCCCCGCCTCAACCATCGTCAAGATCGGAGTCATCATTAACTTTGTAATCCTTTCCTTAACACATATTTTGTACATACCTTTATCCAGAATGTATAAAAGTGTACTATCAGTCACTTTATTATAAAAGTGTACTATCAGTCACTTTATTATAAAAGTGTACTATCAGTCACTTTATTATAAAAGTGTGCTATCAGTCTTTATTATAAAGTGTACTTTATTATATAAAAGTGTACTATCAGTCACTTTATTATAAAAGTGTACTATCAGTCACTTTATTATAAAAGTGTACTATCAGTCACTTTATTATAAAAGTGTACTATCAGTCACTTTATTATAAAAGTGTACTATCAGTCACTTTATTATAAAAGTGTACTATCAGTCACTTTATTATAAAAAGTGTACTATCAGTCACTTTATTATAAAAGTGTACTATCAGTCTTTATTATAAAAGTGTACTTTACTTTATTATAAAGTGTACTATCAGTCACTTTATTATAAAAAGTGTACTATCAGTCACTTTATTATAAAAAGTGTACTATCAGTCACTTTATTATAAAAAGTACTATATCAGTCCTTTAGTTTTATAAAAAATCAGTACTAAAAGTGTACTATCAGTCACTTTATTATAAAAATGTACTGTTGATTTTTTTTCACAATTTGCCCATAGATGGAGCCTTAACAGGTGCTACCACCTTGGGTCAGGTTGAACTTGGGAAAAATAGCAATTAAAAGGTTGTTCCAAAAACCGCCAATCGCCCAATCAGAGGCTATGCTGCCAGATGTAGTTTATCATCATACCCAGGACAAAATAAAATAAAAAGGAAGCATCTAACTTACCTACAGCAGTTCCTTTGTTTCCAGAGTCTGTTAAATCTACAGTCATCTCCAGTGGTTTGTGAAGGTCAAGAGTTGCCAGAGAAGAGTCTGACAGTGTCCACTCAAATTTCAGTGAAGTAAAATTATTAAATTTACGTCCCTGGTTGTCTGTGACTGTCAGGAGGATACCAAGATTTTGATTGCAATGGACAGGAACCTTTAAAAAAAGAAAAAAAAATGTTTTAATGTCTTAGTTTTAATTGTTGAGATATCTATTTTTTTTCTCACAATAAACAATGAGATCTTACTAAGGAGGGACAGCTAGAAATTATTTAAAGTGCTAAAAATTTAGAATTTAAGTAAAAAAAAAAAAAAAAAAAAAAATATCTTGGTCTGCCTGCAGAAACTCGCCGAACGTGTCTACCCAGAGTCACAGTGCATTTTCCGAGCTGAAAGATCAACGGTCTTCACCCTCCGCCAGCTCCAGAAGTGCAGAGAATGGCAGATGCTCCTGTACATCACTTTTATTGATCTCACCAAGACATTCTATCTCAGCAGCAGGGAAGGCCTCTCAGAATCCTACCCAAGAGTGGCTGCCCACCCAAGCTGCAGGACCTTGATTGAGTCCTTCCACAGCGACATGAGGGGGACTGTGCAGTTCAATGGCAGCACTTCTGCGCCCTTCAACATCTGCAGTGGGGGTCAACTAGGACCGTGTCCTTGCTCCCACTCTCTTCGGGATTTTCTTTGTGCTGCTTCTGAAGCATGCATTCGGCACATCAAGAAGGGATTTACATTCGTACAAGACCAGATGCCAGGTTGTTCAATCTCGCCCACCACAGAGCCAAAAAGCTTATCAGAGACGTGCTTTTTGCCGACAATGTGGTGGCAGCGACTCATACCCAGTGTGAACTCCAGTCACAGATAAACCGTTTCTTCCAGGCCTGCAGAGACTTCAGGCTGGCCATCAGCCTGCAAAAGACAAACGTACTGGGACAAGGTACCGAAACACCACCAGCCATCACCATTGATGACTATGAGCTCAGTGTGGTCCATCATTTCACATGACTTGGCTCCACCATCACTGACAACCTCTCCTTAGACACAGAGATTGACAAGAGAATTAGAAAGGCAGCCACAACACTTGTGCATCTCACAAAAAATGTGTGGACCAATCTCAAGCTGACAGTGAAGACCAAAATGGCAGTGTACAACGCCTGCATTATCAGCACACTGCTATATGGAAGCGAAGCTTGGACCATATACGCCAGGCAAGAAAGGCGTCCCAACACCTGTCACATGAGAAATATCCACCACATCCTTCTCGAGCAAGTTTGCCCAACATGTTCACACTGCTCAGACTAAGTTGGTTGGGCCACGTCCAAATTCTTGCCATTCTCTCACTCTCCCTTCCACCTCTCTCTTTCTCATTTCCTCCCAAAAATCTTTTTTAAAACTTTATATTGAAATTTTTTTTTTTCTCTCTTTTAATAGAAAAAAAAAAATTTCCCCCTTTCCTTTTTCCTCTCCCTTTTGTGGGATAAATTGACTCCATTTATTAAAAAAAAAAAAAAACTTTGGTCTGAAGAGATGAATATTTGTGTGTATATATATATATATATATATATATATATATATATATATATTGCTCTGTTTATTACATTGAATTCTCTTTGGATTCATGCCCTCCTTGGAATTATCCCTACCAATTATCAATAGGGATATATATATATATATATATTTAAAAATATGATTCCAACTCGCGACATAAGAGGTCTCATGTTTCAAAACAAGAGCCGAAAACTTCAATATAATTATTTGAATTAAATTGAGTTAATGTAAGCTGTGTTCCATCTTCAAGTGAATTTTTTTTTTTTTTTTGGAATAACACATATATATATATATATATATATACACACACACACAGCATGAAACATCCTGTTGCCTCTAAGTGTTGACTTCAAAGTTTATGCTCTATTTCTGATATTGAGCACTTTATCCCATAAATATAGCACACCTTAAGAGTATATATATTATATATATTACATACACACATACATATATACTCACCACCTGGTTTGAATCCAGCAATAAAGGGCAAGGTGGTAGACTTGGTTTCCGAACAGCTGTCATCACTTGAGGTTGAAGATGGATACCAACAGGCTCAGCACATATGAATCTACAAGAAGATTAAAAAAAAAAAAAAATAAAAGACAAGCTCAAAACATCAAATTGATAATGGCAATTTTTTTTCAAACCACAAGAGAACTACAATTTGATCCATTAATGTCCATCATCCCATTTCTCTGACATTCAACACTAAGGGGTTATACAGAGAAAGCAATCCTTAACTCTTTCTTCATGGGAGACGTGTTTATACGTTTTTACAGAAAGTGGGTTTTTCATACACAGACAAATAAACATGTCCAAAATATAATATTCAAAACCAGCTACCGACGTGTTTATATGTCGGTCTTGATTCTTTTTATGCCCCTCTGAGCTTGAAATGAGTCCAATTATCAACTCATACATGAGGAAAGCTGTTAGCCACTACTAGAGTACTTCAAGGTACCTCATTTTCTTAGTCAGTCTTGATTCTTTTTATGCCCTTCTGAGCTTGAAACGAGTCTATTTGTCAACTCATATGTCAGATAGAGGTGTGAGCCACTGCTCGGGTACTTCAATTTTCTTAGGTACAATATTAAAAACAAGTAAAAAAAATTCATCTTAAAATGAAATGTTTTTTCCCCAAAATAATTGGCCAGGAAGGGGTTAATACTAGATTACAGACATTTTTTTTTTTTAAAACCTATAATTAATGCTGGGCTTTTATAACTAGCCAAATACCTCCATTCTACAAAAAGATTTTTTTTTTTTTTTTTAAAAGCAAATATTTATTTGAACAAATAATTCTAATTCTATAAATGAAAACAAAATGTTTTCTTTTTGTTTTTTTTTTTTGCTCTCCTCTGCCAGCCACAATGATGGAGAACGCATTACCTCACGCCATCACCAGTGAGACACGCTGCAAGAGCCACTCCATTTCACGAGGTTTGTCCCTGAATCAGGATGACATCCTGCCAACCCTTCAAAGGAAAGCCATCGAATGAGGGCCAATAACTCTAGAAGTCCCCACTGGCACAGGAGTAAAAATAAATCTGTCTACAAGAGAAAACTATTTTTTTTATCTCCACGTCCCAAGCAACAGATCCTGACTCAACTGTGGACCTGACCAAATTATAGGTCGAAAATGTATCGGCACAGGTCACAACCCAAATCAAGGACTTCCCTATTTTAAAAGGGAAAATGTTAATTCCATCTGGCCACTTTCCATCATCACAGTCAAAGCTTGTGGGTTTGATTTGGGAAGGTAACCCAGCTGCATCCAGACCTCTTCTAATGATGTCTTATTGCTCCATGCCTTGGAAAGCACCCTGGCACTACGACAACAGGAGAGATGATGCAAACCAAACTCAAAGTAAATTGTCATAGGAGTTCTCTGAATCCTCTAAAAATTTCTGTATCTATGTATAAAATTTTGACAGACCTCATCAAGTATACGTAAAATTGAGGAAGTGAGGTGGGAGATAGGATATGAGTGTGTCATATGTATCATTTCAGTTTCCTATTTTTAACCCCAGTGTGTCGGCTAGATGTTGCTCAAATTTAACGCATCTCGTCTCTAGATATAGATGGCTAAGGGGTGAGGGAGAAGACCGACATTAAATGAAGAAGTTACAACAGCCCCAATCAATTACACGACAGGTTTCATTCAAATTCTTAGATGCTGTTAATTCGCGTTACTTTAACGGGCATATTTGGGGGGTTAAGGTTTGATAAATATCTAAATGTCTAAACAATCTACGAAGAAATTAATTTGAAATTCAGTGGAGTTTTGGGTATTTACTATGAAACAGTCGATTGGAAAAATTCATAGACAGAACATTGAAAGAGTAATCCATTTTATATTTAGTAATCTTTTTTATTCTACTAAAACTTTTATCTTATTGCTTGTTAGGTTGACATTTATTCGTTTGATTTTTGTTCATTAAGTAAACTCGTGATTGTTTTTATGTACCCAATTATCAACGGTTATTTCCATTTAAATAATTTTATCATCAATAATGGGGTAGTATATTTCAATCTAAATTAAAATACCAATTTAAACTTTACCTTCGTGCTATTTAAAACTCAGTTCCAATTGGAGAATATTAGAGGAGAGATTTGGATGAGATGTCACTAGCAGAAAATTAGGTCCTTCTTTTACAATAATTTATCTACACATGTCTTAAACACCTATTTATATCCACACACCTATATCTTCTTATATACCTATGAGTTCCTATATACACCTGAACCCACATTCACACGAAAAAACCATATGTATATTTCCATATTTACACATATACTCTTGCAAAGAACATCATATCCATATATCCCCATACACACACATACATACGTAATATGCAGCATATATATATATATATATATATATATATATATATATATATATATATATATATATAATATCATAGTTAAACCTAGAGAGCCAGACAAACCTACCAAGGTTTCACCTAAGCAGATCGTCAGGGAAGGCTGGCTTCCCTGATGATCCGCTTAGGTAAAACCACGGTAGGTCCGTCTGTCTCTTTAGGTTTAATTAGGTCTGCTCTACTTAACGTATTGAGCACTTTATTTAGTTATTTTGCTTACTCATATCGGAGTTTTTTTCTTTGGACTTGCATGCTAGATGATTATTTTCGGCTAACGTACATGTTCTTTCTTTTTTTATACCTTTTTTTTCCCTTTGCTATTAGTTTGATTATTCGCAAATCAAGACACCGAAGGTTTTCCGGACGAGTATTTCTTATACTTATAAGATTATTACTAGTGTATGTGTGTGTTTATATATATATATATATATAGTATTTACATTTATTTACAATAATTTTCTACTGTACTAGATGTTTTAGGCCACAAAAAAAAGTGCTTCAAATTAATAGACATACGTCTTTAATGGACAATCCCCAGCATTAAATTGAGGTTCCACTGTGTATTTTATTCTGGAAAAAATTGCACAATAGTAGCACTGTAAATAAAGGGGGTTTCCAATAACTTGGACAGATTTTAATTGTGATTTAAGTTTAAGCGTCTGATGATTTTTTTTTTTTTTAGATTTAACAAGTCTTTGACAATTTCAACCATGGAATGGAAAAAAAAAAAAAAACATACTTTATTTTTGTTTCGGCAGCGGCTGGGTACATATTTGTAACAGTAGGGCGGTTTCCAACAGTCAGAGTCAGTGTCTGAAATGGTATTAAAGAAAATTAGATTAGAAGACAACACTTGTGCTGCGTGCACATTCATCAAATTTATTTGGACAAAACATGGAGAGGGTGAAAATGAAAAAAAAGGAGCAAAAAATGGGGGCAGAGCAGAAAGGGCAAACGCGGCGGGCGAGGGAGCAGAAAGGGCAAACGCATGAGAGTGAGGGCAGGAGGAGAAATCAGGGCAGATCAGTTAAGAGAGGGAAAGAAACAAGAAAAATCAACAGAAGTAAATATAAAATAAAATTCCATCACCAACCTGCTGCCCCAGTCCAGTACAGGCAATATTAAAAGCATGGACACCACCTGACATAAAATAAAAATAAAGAGAATTTAATAATCAAAAAATTGCAATTATTAAAAGATATTAGAATACATATTTTCCAGTTTGTTTATTTGTTTGTTTCTTATATATATATATATATATATATATATATCTGTGTGTGTGTATATTCCAGCAGCATGTGTTCATTCAGACAGGTTTCATTAAATAATTTAGGCACGTTCTGTCTACTTATTTTTGATAAAATCCTTTTGTGAATAAGTTCTTTTGTGCAGTTGTTAAAGGACATATGTATGTATTTCAACTATGAACATGGACACAATATGCTGACAGTGTTTGAAAAATAAAATATTCTATCATGCTAAATACATACATACAACAATCAATTTCCAGTTGACAGTAAATGTAATTCATCCTTAAGAATGGCTAATGTAATTGCAGAAAGGGCTTGGAAAAATAAAACATTTGGCCAGTTTTTGCAGAATTTATCCAAAGAAAAGAAAAAAGAAAATTATAAGATCATATGAGAAAACTTAATAAAAACATCCTGTCTGCCACATTTAATGAAGCTTGCATGAAAGGATATATATATATATATATATATATATATATATATATATATATATATATCATACAGGAATCATTCATACAAAAAACAGATTAGTGAAGTTAATGATATAAATGGCGAGAATACATCTTCGCAAACAAATTTATTAAAATTACATTAACCCACGAACCTCTAGATGATTATTATGATCCCTGTTTTTAATAAATTCAACTTGTATAAGGTCTTTTTTTGCAAGTACTTTCATCTGTTCATACAGACATCATCAGGCATGAAAATTGATTTGTTTGTTTTTTTAAATACATCCGGGTAATAACGGGCCACAAAAGATTAGATGCGAGTTGAAATATGTTTTTTTAGAAATGTGTTATTGTCAACTGTAAGAAATTCTGGAGCATGCGGTCGCAACACTAAGGTTGAATCTTTTGAAAATTTAAAAGAGTGCGTTTTTTTACTATGTTAATTGGAGAATTCTTTTATTGTAGTAGTTTTTCAGTCAATGTGGCATGAACTAAACGTGTGTATATATATATATATATATATCTATGATTCCATCGCAACACAGAAAATTTCTGATTCCAAACTGAAACTAAAATTGTAAATTTAATTATAATAATTTTATTATAATAATATTTTAATATGATAATTTTATAATTAAATTTACAATTTTAGTATCAGTTTGGAAATTTTCTAGGTCACAATGAAGTCATATTTTTTAAAAAGAAAGTAATTATAATATTCTACTGTTTGTATTGAGCAATGTTCTTTTTTTTTTTTTTTAAATAAAAATAATTGCTAAGAACACCAGGTTATAAATCTTACTGTTCTTGTTCAGTCATGGCTGTTAGACAATTTCTTCGACCATATCACCCCTTACATCTGGCCACCTAACTCCCTAGACGGCAACCCTCTTGATTATTATGTGTGGGATTGCAATTGTGTGAGAGACTGACAAAACTCCTTGTAACACCAAAAATGAACTGAAGGCAGGGAGTATGGCAGCATTCAGCAACTTAAACAAGAACATCGTCCAGAAGAGTTGCAGGAGATTCCAAAGTCATCTGGAGGCTGTGGTTGAAGCGAATGGCTCTCTATATATATATATATATATATATATATATAATAAAGAGAAAGAACAGTAAGATATATAATCCAGTGTTCTTATTTTTATTTTTACAAAACAGTGCTCAATGCAAATCTACAGAGCCTAAATATTACAAATTTACTAATTTAAAAATATGGTCCCATTGCTACACAGGAATTAACATGTTTCAAAAACAAATTAAAAACTTCAAATTCAATTATAGAATTAAAGTCCCTAGTCCTAGTTTCATTTTCAAGTAAATTTTGGAATAACATATTTTGAAATTTACTGAGTTTTATAAGCACATACATTCATAATATTAGTTTCTAAGGATATGGGAAAATCCAATCATTTTAACAAGGGGTGGTAGGGTATTCATTTTCACTGACAACTATTGTATCAAAATATGAGTTACTTTCGAAAGGAGGTGAAGGTAGGGGTGCCTTTTTCAATGAATGATTACATCCATTCAACGCATGCCATCTGGTCTTTATCAACAACAAAAAGTTTTACAGCACTTTTGTTTTGTCGTATACTTTTGTATATATAAAGATGTTTTCTAAAAGGGTTGTTTGTATATGGACACATCGTATTGAACTACAATTTTAAAATATTATTCTTAATTCTAATTACTAATAGACTATACTGCTTTTAAAACAAATAAATGTAATAGAATTACTTAAATTATTTTAAAGTTATTATTAAATATCATATATATATATATATATATATATATATATATGAAAAATGAAAGTTTCTATTGAAAGGACATTATATATTTATGTGTGAAGAAAAAATGTTTATACTTACGGTGGAGACTGTACTCAACTCCAGATAATTTGGTCATAGCCAGAAATTTGGAATCGACAGGTGACACTGAAAAATAATCATTTAAATATGATATCAGAAATTGTCCTCTTTGTTTTCCACCCCCATCTACCAACTAAAATATTTTACCAACATTTTAGAGAAACAGTTTTTCGACATTGAATGTGTATGCCATCAAATAAAACTCTGATAATTTTGTCTGATACAGACAAGCAGTATTTCAAAATATGGATATTAATTATCAGCCATGATGGACAACATAAGGTTGGAGAAAAAAAAATATCCTGTACAGTCTTGTAAACGAGTGGTCAACAACCTTTTGAACTTCATGTCCCACTAAATATATAATTTTAAATTTGGTGGACCACTGATATGAACTGAGGAAAAAAAAGATTAAATACATTTTTATTATGAAGAAGAAGAATAATAATAATAATAAGAAGAAAAATAATAAGAATAATAAGAAGAATAATAAGAATAATAAGAAGAAGAATAAGAATAAGAAGAAGAAGAAGAATAAGAAGAATAAGAATAAGAAGAATAAGAATAAGAAGAATAAGAATAAGAAGAATAAGAAGAAGAAGAATAAGAAGAAGAATAATAAGAAGAATAAGAAGAAGAAGAATAATAAGAAGAAGAATAATAAGAAGAAGAAGAATAAGAAGAATAAGAAGAATAAGAAGAAGAAGAATAATAAGAAGAAGAATAATAAGAAGAAGAATAATAAGAAGAAGAATAATAAGAAGAAGAATAATAAGAAGAAGAATAATTAGAAGAAGAATAATAAGAAGAAGAAGAATAAGAAGAAGAATAATAAGAAGAAGAATAATAAGAAGAAGAATAATAAGAAGAAGAATAATAAGAAGAAGAATAATAAGAAGAAGAATAATAAGAAGAAGAATAATAAGAAGAAGAATAATAAGAAGAAGAATAATAAGAAGAAGAATAATAAGAAGAAGAATAATAAGAAAACTTTTATTTTATTAATATGAAATGCAGCAAAAGTTATAGTATAATTATTTAAAATTGAAAAACTTGAAGTTTATTCAAGTCCACTAAAAAGATTTTTTTTAATATTTTTCAGAAATTGTTTTCAAGTACAAATGCTTATGAATTTGTATCTGGTGCTTGAAGATCCCGCTATTACTCTGTTGCTATGTAATGTTTGTAGAAGATTATACTAGTAAACCATCCATTAACTACTTATCAACAGTAATGGTAAGAGACTATTCAGTAATAAGTATTGAACATGACTTTGCAAGTCATGTAAAGTTATACTATGACTGGATGATGTCACATTTAGGTTCTTGTGAACTCGTGTTTATTTACAGATTATATAAGGTCTTCAACATCCATAATACGTTTCGATACTAGTCAGATGACAGAAAAATCAATTCAGAATTAAATTTAGAGAAACTAACATCAATCATCTTTTCAACATTTCTCTCCTTATATAACAGAAAAAAAAAAAAACTTTTTGGACAAGACAGTCAAATTGCAATGAAAAGTGGATTTATTACAAGAATCCAAAATAGAGAAAATCATTGCTAGATCCAGGAGGGCCTTCAACATCTCAATATAAATGGAAGCTATTTGGGGAAGGAAAAAAGACTGTCAGGGGCAATAAAAAATGGATTTATTACAAAAATTCTAAATGAAGAATATTATGGCTAGATCCAGGAGAGCCTTCAAAGGAAAAAGAAAAAAAATTCTTTTTCTTGACTAACAAAAATAATTTTTTTTTGCAGTCTATTTTTATTTAGAGTTACCTCCCCTCGTAATTTTTTTTTTTAACCATGTTATTCATGTACAGGTGGTCTGAAAGTCTTGTCACCCGTACATAACATAATTTTCCATTTCAGATGCTTGACACAAACTCCTACAGTTTGGTTGGTTGTATTTTATGGCATATCAACCACTGTAGGTCATTTAATGCCAAATTTAGTTTATATATACATATTAAATATATAGGACTTGTAAACGTCTATAAGCTAGAGCTTATTTGCTTGCACACTGCAAAATAATTCCAGGTATTACTCTCTAGGACAAGGATTTCCATTTAGTATAGACAATTTGTACAATGTTAAAAGGTAGCATATATTAATTACACATCAGATTATATCCTTGATAAAAGGACCAATTCTTTTCAGGAAGTTTATTATATGACTTGGATCAATTTTTATAAATAGTTCCTTTGTACTTTTAATGTTGTAGAACTTTCTTTCGAATGTGTGTAAGGTTTGTGCATTCTATCAGTATATGTTTTACTGTGTACTGGTTTCCACATGGACATTTAGGAGGAGGCTCCCCTACTGGTATGAAGGAATGAGTCAGTCTAGTGTGTCCAGTGTGTAGCGGAGTAAAGGTGGTTTCCTTTCTTTTAAAATGGGTTCTATTTGGTAGAGCTTATTGTGCGTATTTTTGTCCCATAGTTGTTGCCATTTTTTGAATCATTATTTTCTTGATTTTATGTTTTAGGTCAGTATATGAGATTTTGGAGTTCTGGTTGGATGTTATGTTAAGTGCGGCTTTTGCTAAGGAATCGGATTTCTCATTTCTCTGAATTCCAATATGACTTGGGATGCAACAAAATATCACCTTTTTATGTCGTTTGGAGTTGATTTTGTTTAAACGTTTGACAATTAAAGAGCTATCCAGTTTTGTATTTTTTATAGATTGTAAGACAGAGATGGAGTCAATATGGATGATGAATTTTTTTTTTAAGTTACTTGCACAATCTTAAGTGTTAATTTTATTGCATAGATTTCTGCAGTAAATATAGAGGCTTCCTTTGGGAGGCATTTTTTCATCATTTCCTTATTGAAAACTGCTCCACATCCGGTTCTATTGCCGTCTTTGGAGCCGTCTGTATAAAATGTGCGAGTATGGGTATTTTTCCTGAATAGTAAAGAGTTTTTCTTGGTAGGTTAATGGGTGGGCTTTATTTTTAAGGAGCTTGTTTAAATCAAGAATAATCACAGGCTGCTTAAGTAGACAGAATGGTAAGCTTAGCTGAACGGTACCTACAGTTTGGAAGAGAGGCCTTATCTATGTGTGACAGCATCAATGAAAGTGAATAAACTGAATCCAGTACATGTGCTTTGTATTACTGTGTTACTCCTATTGTTCTCTTGACTTTTTGCTGCTGGTTTAGAAAACTTTCGAACCACCCGGTATAATGTGTAGCACTAACCTTGGGATACAAAATTTTGGATTAGAGAGAAAAAAAAAAAAAAAAAAAAAACATTCCTTGGTATAATATTCAAATAAAAGCCAAATTTAACATTTGTTCAACTTTTTTATCCTGTTCATATCAACTAAAACTGATTTATATACTTTACATAATGAAGCAATATTATAAGCAGCAAAACCAAAAAAAACAAAACAGACTGACATGTCTCAAAGTACCCAGATGGGTCCATTTGCCACGGTTGAGGGCCACCTTCAAAGAGAAGGTCTCGGGATGATCCCAAAGCAACAACACTTTCTGGACTCTGAGCCTGAAAGAGAAAGTTAAAATTTTGAGAACGGATGTAATTTGAAAATTTTAGCTAAAGTCTAAGAAAACAGTGAACTGCAAGTTGATCCTGCCTCAGATTATCTAATACGACACAATAATAATCACACTTCAAATTATTACTGATCTCCTTGGGATATACAGCAAATGGAGAGTGTCTTGGCTATTTTGCCAAGAGAAACCTTGAACTGCATCTTGGATGACAAAACAAGTTCTCTGTAAAATCCACAAAAAGAATGCAGCTGTGACTACCATATCTTCTTGTTTCTGAAACTAAAAGTGGGGAATGAATTATATCCCTACATGCAAGCCACCAATTTGCCTCTGGGTGGCATGCCACTAGCACTTACCACCGGTGACTCATTGTTGAACTGCCAGCGTATTTATCCTGGCAAATGTTACCACTGGTGGGCCACTAGTGGCTTGTGTGTAGAGATCCTTGATATTATATTAATTATACTAATATATTTAGGCTCTGTCAACTTTGGCACTGACCCTAATTATATATTATACCTTTTATCCTTTATATATTGTAGCTTTTATCCTTTTATATATATTATATATATATATATATATATATATATATATATATATATATATATACTAGCAGTATAACCAGTCTTTGACTGGGTATTTCATTAATGTGAATTTTGCTGTTCAATTTTTGCAGCTTAAGTTTAAAGTCAGCCCACCTGAAAATCAAAATTACTAACAACTGAGTGCAACTGAGACACATCCCCAATTGGAGGCTTAACAATTGGGATGGGTCCTGGCCTTGAAAAGAGCTATTATGTATCCTCAGTCTCTCAAGGAGGGAACCTCTTCCATGGACCGTCATAATAATAAATGATATTTTTTTTATTTATAATATTCTTTTTATAATTCTAATTATATTTTGCGTTAGATTCCAACTCCCTAATTGATTGTACGCTGTTTTTTTGTTACATACATTGAATTAAGCCTTTGATTTTTGCGCAAAGTGTAAAAAAAAAAAAAAAAAATCATTTTTTTTTCAATTTTTCACCTTCAAGGCTGTAAATTTTTTTCAGCCAATTTGAACTCAAAACCGGCACTGGAGAATTATCTATCAAACACCATAAATCACATCAAAATCAGATGAAAACTGTGGCAATGCATAAACATCCGATCACACACATTAAGAATTATATATATATATATATATATATATATATATATATATATATATATAATTAGGATATATTTGAAATAATCATAATTCATCGAGTCTAGAAGAAACCTCAACAGAATGCAGAAAGCACTGATGGCCATTTTGTTCTATATTTGGGCCCCCCCATCAGCAGTGCACATCCACTACTGGGAATTGAAACCCAGACAGTTACGTTACCAGGCAACTGCACAAGCGGGCATCGGTGACAAAGAAGTAGCAAATCAGACTAAATATAGGGCCACTTGATCACATATTCCGTGGTGGAACTCATCCAAGTTTCCCTTTTACCCATAGGACTGTGCCCTCACGAGCCATGACTACTATCGCCAAGGCACTCCATCAAGAGCATTAGAAGCCGGTTCAAGCAAGGATATACAAGTGATAGAAATTATTAGGATGATTTGAGATAATTATAATTAAGTAATTCATCAAGTCTGATAGAAACCTCAACAGAATGCAGAAAGCACTGGACGGTCGTTTCGTACTATATTTGGGATTCATCAGCAGTGCGCATCCACTAATGAGAATTGAAACCCGGACAGTTACATTATCAGGCAAACGACATACCAACTGTACCAATGGGCCTCAGTGACAAAGAAGTAATGAATTAGACTCAATACAGTGCCGCTCGATCACATATTCCGTGGTAGAACGCAGAGTTTCTATTTACCAATAGGTAAAGATATATATATATATATATATCTATATATATATATATATATATATATATATTATAAATTAATTGATTTAAAAATGGTTATAAACAGTTCCAACTATGTTTCAAAAAATAGAATTAAAACCCTAATTTTATTTCTTGCAAATTAAATTAAAAGCATTAGTTCCATTTCATCTTCAAGCTGAATTTTATATATATATTAAATTTTATATAATTATTATTACAAAGTATATATATAAAGAATAAATCAGTAAAGTTAATATATTATATGGAGAAATATATAATAGATTTAATAAATATAACTTACTAACCACTCACTGAATGATGCAATTTTTGTTTTTTAATTATATATATATATATACACACACACAAAAAAAAAATAATGAAATACTGAAGAAGAAACATTCAATATCCAAAGTTTCTTTAACCCAAAAATTGGTTGGTGGGCATTATTACAGGTAAAAGCTAAAGCGTTTTTTTTTGTTTTTATAGAAGCCTTTAATTCTGATAATTTTTTTTTTTTTTTTTTTTTAATAATTTTTAATGGGGATTTTTCATGATTTTTTTTTCCTATAATACCAGTTAATTACAAACGATAATCCTGAACATACTCACCACAAGTGGTCTATAAGCAGCGACTGTGACAGAAGCATCAAGTCGAGTGTGATACACTTGGTAGCTTACTGTCACTTTGGTACATCCTGGCTGCCGAGCAAAAATCTTCAGCGAACTGCATGCACCTTTCACTAATTCACTGTCCTTGGTATTACCTATCAAGTTATTTAAAAAAAAAAAAAAAAGGTTTTATAAAAATTTTCATGCTGAAACAATATCCATATAGAAGATGAGAATGCCAGACATCTTATTCCCAAGGATAAAATAATATGACTTCAGACAAACATCCAGTTCTTCCTCCAATCATTCTTACATTTTTGCAATTAAAATGTTTGTGGAAAATTCGATTTTCAAGCAGCCAACTAAATACACCTTCTGTTATACATAGGCTTCAACTAATAACCTATACTTCTACATCATTCTTATTTTTTTAAACATCAAAAGCACTTTTTCTATTTTATCATCCTTCCCATCTATATTTTCTTTGAGTCAAATCTGAATCTCAAACTTGTTACTTTTGGCAACAATTTAGACAAACATAGTTTACATATAAATACACGATGACACGGATGAAAGTTATCTAATTTTTTAGCATGAACTCACCAACTGATAGAGATCAAAAGGACTTTTGATCAGGACTAATATGACAGAGTAATTGCCACCAACATGACTAGTTGGACGGATGGTTCCTCTATTTCCCTTTAACCAGGACTACTTAGATAAGGCTGTAAATGGAAACTTCTGACTTCCGACCAAGTTACTTGACCTCACAGGTTTATATTTATTATTTTCTTCAGACAAGTAAGTTACTGCTTTGAACACCAACCTTTATCTTTTGGTCATAAAAAGTGCCCAGACACTTCAAATTCCAATAATTTAGGGCCCACTTGACCTTTGTGTGTGTTTAGCTAGTCATTGGAGACCTATTTTGCCAGAGAAATTGTATAATTCACACAAGACACCAAAACCAAAAAGAACAATATTAAAAAAATGTCAGAAACAAATTGACATTCATCAAATTGTCGGCTTAAAAAAAAAAAAAAAAAAAAAAAAAAAAAAAAAAAAAAAAAAAAAAAAAACAGGAATGAAGTATTGTACTTACTTGAAGTAAGGTTGAAGATTGTTCGATCGGAGAAAAGAACATCAAACTTTAAATGTCGGCAGTCAGCAAATGCAGCTTCCCTTCCTGATGAGGAAAAAAAAAAAAAGTTATAAAAATGATTTCAACAATAAAAACATTATTTCATCTGAAGAATTCTTTTTGCATTGTCATTTAATTTTGCTTTTACTCAGATACAAAAAAATATATATATATATATATATATATATATATATATATATATATATATATATATATATAATGAAAATATATAGAAAATAGGAAGGAACTGGTTAGGGAAATAATCCAAAGTCCCTTAGTATTTTAGTTATTATTTTTAAAAAATAGTGCTCGATACAAAAGTAGAGCATAAATATAATTATTTATTTAAAAAAATGATTCCAAATCGCGACGATTTAATTTAAATAATTTAAATAATTATATTGAAGTTTTCGGCTCTTAAACATGGGACTTCTTATGTCTCGATTTAGAATCATATTTTTAAATAAATAATTATATATAATTATATATAACAGATTTATATTTTCATTTTTTGTTTCTATCTTTCTAAACTTAAATTTTTCAACATTTGTATGTATTTACATCACCATTATGGCTTGGCTTCACAAAACGAAGATCAAGAGGGAGTCTGTACACATCGCTTGTAGGCATGTTAGTGACTGATAAGTCCAATGCAGGACAGGCATACACAGTCGCAGTAGTTGCAGCTAAAAGTCTGGCCTAGGCTCAATGGCATAGCACTACAGTACTTCCTCTTCTGCCTCTTGTCCCCGAGAGTGGCTCTGCAGATATTTTCAAAGAAAGAGACAGCATTGTTTGTGGTGAGATGCCAGGCATCACGGTTCTCAACTAGAGTTGACCATTGACAATGGTCGATGTGACAGGCAACAAGGATTTTTTCAGGCAATCTTTGAATCGCTTCTTCGGTGTCCCTCTTCCACGATAGCCAATGGAGAGTTCACCATAAAACAAAATTTTAGGCAGTCGATGATAATACATCCAGGAAACATCCAGCTCAGTGTAGATGGGATTTCTGCATCGCCTCATTTATTTTATGTACTATTTAGTAATTTGTGTTGCTTTCTAGTGTTTCTGTTTATCTAGTTTGTTATATATTTAAAAAACCAGTAAATTTTTTTTTTTTTTTTTTTTGGGGGCTTTAAAACATATACAATGTTTTTATGTACATTATATAAAGATTGTTCTAAAGATTGTCATAAAGGGTGAAGGGGGGGGGAGAAGATCGTACTGTCTATAAAATACTTCTGTAGCATATGTCTCAAATAGCCTTTCAGAATTAAGCCCAGCTCCAAGCAAAGACAGAAATATCAGTATCTCATCACCAGTTGCTTTAAGTGGATGGAGCTCGGCAATCCATATAGGAGAAGGAAAACCCTGATTTTAAAACTCCACTGCCTTGCAATCATATTCAAACACTTTTTAAGCCATGAAAGTAAATCTAGACAGAAAACCTGAAGTGGAGGCCCAAAAGCTCTTAAAACTGACACACTTTCCAATAACTATTTCAGCCAAGCCATCAACAAACATATTTCTTTGAATCTTGTTGTACAGACAAGAGGCGGGGGTATGTAGTCTGGGCAACGACACAGCCTCTATATATCATCACTCAGGCCTGCACCCTGGAGAGGTCAATCCAGTTTCACCACCAAAAGACTGAATTTTGACCGAACAGAATGCTGCCTTTATCTTACAAGATAAACCGCTGGCTACTACACAGCTACATAGAATTTACTTACATTCCTTTTATGACCTATTAACAATACAACTTGCCGAGAACCTTATGTAATGATTAACAAGCTCGTCTTGCAGAATAGTTATTCCTTATTAGTCAGTTCGATCCTATCTACGTACCCCATCCCCCAACAAGAGTTAGTCCATCTACTAAATCTGTTATACTTATTAAAACAGCAGCTATATTTTGGGTATAACAGTTAACAAGTTAGATTTGTACATCATTAGTGAGCTTAATTCTCACTGTGTGACCCATACCTGTGTAAATGTGTCAAAGAAAAATAAGCTTAGTTAATAACAATTGTGGACTAAGTTGGGTTATGATTAACAAGCTAGTCTGGTTGAGATATTACTGAGTAAATGAGTTCAACCCTCACTGGTTGTATTTATCATTATGGTTTTGAATGATTGATTGATGGGTTCATTTTTTATGGCTTATCAACACTTATCAGGTTATTATAAATCAGGTTATTTAAAGCCAAAAAATATTTTTAGATTGTAAGATTTTTTTTTGGTGGTGGGAGATACAGATTTAATGATAGATTGGTTGGGTTTTATGGCATATCAACCACTGTAGGTCATTTAATGCCAAATTCAGTTTTATATGTGTATAGGTCCTCCTTGCTTACTCAGCTCTATTCCAAGTTTTAATCAATAAAAATTATTTCAACCATTTCCATTGTCTGCTAATGACCCAGTTCCAATGGGTACAGCTCCTGCCTTAGATCAGATTTCACCATCAGTAAACAAAAATTCTCTTATCTAATTTTGCTGTTCAAATCCATTCCAATTTCACTAAAAAAAAAAATGTGTGTGTGTGTGTGTGTGTGTGTGTGTGTGTTGCCCAGACTCTGTCACAGGCTTTATTTCGTCAAAAGTAATATCCTTCCTCGTGTTTACATACGAGTAGACACCAGCGTTTGCTCTTTCTTTCACCTGACTCATATTTGTCTCATTGACATATAAAAAAAGTTATTATTTCATTGTTTATAAATAGACAAAATAATTCACCTTCAGAAAGGCTGTTAGGTACATCTATGGGGCCAGTAGCTTCTATAAAATTAGTCAGCCATGGATGATAGTAGCTGCTTGGTATCTCGTGGTCATCACTTTCCTTCATGTCCCTAGCATGGTTATCATCTCACGACCACTTCACAATCAATATCCACTAGAGTAAGGCCTTCAAAATCATCACTGGAGTCCAAATCAAGGAAAAACACTTGAATAAAAGCTTCATTGGATGCTGAGCAGCCATTTTTGTTTACAAAAAATTGTGAAAAAATTAACGTGGCTTTAATTGATATTACACCTCATGTAGAGTCTAAAAGAATCCAAAATGGCATCAGAAAACAGAAGTTTAGCCTCGTTCCAAAGTAATAGTAGGTAATTTCCAGCTTAAAATACCGGAGATAACAGTTCACAAGTGTTTATTTTTAGCAACCCTCTTAAGGCAACAGAATGCAAAGGGAGAGCATTCTATGGTGACAATTTTCACCTCCAACATGATAAAGGTCAACTCTGACACAAAGACAAAAGTATGGGGCACCCAGTGAGGATCAAACTTGCTACTCAGTCGATCTAGTGAGACCTGTTCACTTGTCATTACACTACATCAAGGTGCCCAATATAAATTGTCTTTATGGTCAACATATTTATGCATTAAAAAAAGAAAATAACAAAACATTAAAAAACAAAATCTCACATACCATCCAGCTCTACAAACATAGCTACAGGAAGATGCAATATAGTGTTCACTTCAGCCTCAACCCGAGCAGGAAGCAACTCCATCCTGGTGGGTGGAAGAACTACTATCTGAAAACAAATCAAAACCCATGAGAGTCATATTGCAACAAGAAACCTTTCAACAATACAGAAACAATATATAAAATCCAGACAAGTGTAAAATGGTCATTAATTTTTTTTTTTTTTGGCATAAAAAATCCTTTTATAAACATTAGTGAGAGAAAATTTGAAATATGTACATACAAGTAGCTACTGAGAAGTCAAGGTAATTTTTAAATCTTATTCAGTCAATGGACATTCTGTTTTTCTCTTGAAAATCACTTCACTAGTTAATAAAGAAAATTAATTGCCCACAAAATCTTACATGTCTAGCAAGGACTCCAATACAGAAACATTTCAAACTTTATCAGGAGTACAAAGAGGAAATGAAAGCTGGTCTATTTTATCTTTTCCTAGACCATGCCCTATAAATTATAACAGCCGACATTTCAAACCTCATCAGGAGTGAAATGTGAGCCACAGTCCATTCCCTATAATATACCCTGTGCAGATACAAGCACAGATGTGAAGAGATGGGCAATGATCATTTAAGTATTCCATAACAAATCCCAAACAAATCCAGAAGACAACAATCCTGCTTTCCCACCAGAAGCCAACATACCGATTTTGGGGTCTATGCCGATGACATAGGTATTCATAGTTAGGATAAGAATGAGCTTGAATAAATAAAATAAAAATCCTTCACCAAGAATTCCAAGAAATAGGACAAACTCTGGAATTGGAATGAAAGCAATGATTGTAATGTACACTGAATCCATCACAAAAATTCAGGAATTAGCAAATACCAAACACTTAAAATATTACAGTGTATGGAGCAGTTATAACAAATTTAGTATGGGAGAAAAGGTAACTGAATACAGAATAGGCTGCACTAGAGGTAGTTTCAGCCAACACTACAAATTGCTAAAATGCCAAAACATTAACCACATCACTGGCCATCACCGTACCAATACCAAGGTGACTGGTCAAACCTTTGTTGTTCACATTAACGATACTCATGTTCTTAAATAGCGTCGTCAGATCCTAACTTTCATATGGATGTTATGCATGACACCAAACCTATTCAGAAACTTCTAAACTGACAGCTTTATGTAACCACTTTCTAAGATCAATAGTTAAAAAAGGCTTTGAGTAGGTAAAGCTTGTCGTTTTTGGTGAAGACTTTTCTACAATTTATCAACTGTTTGTAGGCTACTGAAAGCCAGAAAATACTATTAGAGTGTAAGATTTTTTTTTTTTTTTTTTTGAGATAATGGTTTATCTATACAAGTCTTACTAATTAACCCATAGCTGGGGAAGAAGAGGTGGATTCATACCTGCCCCAATGGTATCTGTGCGTAAGTGAATATAATAAAACTGACTGGAATTGGAATTTGACTCACCAATTAACAATTTCAAGCAATTATATCTTACACCACACAGATCCAAGCTCACAGCATCTGGTATTCTCAAGCAAACACCCACCTAGGTACTGACCAGACTCAATGTTTCTTAACTTTGGTGATTGTACAGGAACCAGTGTTTCAACATGATATGGCCATAAACCTTTTTTCAAAGAATGTGGACTGGCGCTATAGAAACCGCACGGAAGCGTGCCGGAGAGCCGAGGCCGCACCACTTAAGGGATTGCAACAACTAAATTGATATCACATTTAACTTGAAGATAAAATAACAAAATCAAGATGCCACACCACCCCAAACAAAAGCTTAGGAAGGAAAGTCCCATCTATACTGGAAAGAGCAATAGCAGCTACTAAACCTCAGAATAACTGTGTCAAGAAAAAGGTTTTATAAATTTCAACTGGAAGAAGTACTGGCTACTCAATCAATGAATGCCAAATATTTCCTTGTAGGGAAACGGCTAATATTAACATTACCTTTTACTAGTAATTATTTTTTTGACTGTGGATTTTACAAAATCTTGTTGGGAATTTAACGTCAACCTCTGTCTTTTTATTATATTGCTCCTGCAGACAAACAGCACCTGTCCTTCTGCACAAGTCTGAAGGTAATTGCTGCCTGGTTGTCTGTGAACAGACCTACCTACGTGTACCTGGCCTCTTGCACACAGACCTGCAAGCATCCATCAACAAGGCATCCCTTTTTTGGTTATAGTAGGAGGAAAGATCTCTGCAGGACAAAAAAAAAAAACAGGCTAATTTTAGGATCCCCCAAACATTAAAGCAAACTCTAAAAGACGTAATTCCTGTAAGAGTGACGTGAGGAGAAAAGCTTGTTACACACAAAGCAGATGTTGACCCGTTGGTGAGAAACCATCTAAGAGGCCCTAAGTTCACATTAGAACCTGCCAGGATTAAAAACGTATCTATGACAACTGGATAACAAATAAACCCACCTTTGCACTGCCCGTGTGTTTATGATTCTTCACATCACTGGCCATCACAGTACCAATGCCAGGACCAAGGGGACTGGTCAAACCTTTGTTGTTCACATTTACAATACTCAGGTTCTGGGAGTACCAGGAATATTCTCCGCTGCCACCTGTGGCCTGAAATTAAAAGAGAAATATATTCTGTAATGAAACAAGCTATCAAATTCACAATCACAAATCTCGTAACCTATTAAGATCATTTGGGCACCAAAAATACTGCAGCTGTAACAGCAGTGGTGTGTACAAGGTAATACAAGCTGACGGAGTATTAGAGTAGCTGTCTTGTTAGCTGGAGGAAGTTGGAGTTGTCTTTTTCCAAGGGCATTAGTGCCTAGTGAACAACAGACATGGTCAGAATTTGAACCTGGCATGCCAATTCCACTTTCCAAGTTGATAACTGTTACACTACCTGAACATACAATAAAAAGCAACAAAAATATATCTGGGGAAAAAAAAAAAAATATAAAAACAAAAAAAATAAGAAATTTGGCACACTAAATCCCCCCACCCGCCACTACATTTTTTTTTTTTTTTTTTTTTTTGAGAGCACAAAAACATGAACACCTACTGCTTTAAAATTTTATAAACTTTGTACTGTGTGTATAGATTTTAATTTTTGTACACTAATAAAAGAATGAATGAGTAATATCTTGATGTAATGCATTACATTTTGTGTAGAAGTCAAATGACTTACCTGCTAACATGGCTGCCTTCTTGTTTCTCCATGAAAAGGCAAGCCAGTTAATCTACCTCATTTATAGGAGAGCACCTAATGCAACAGGTGGGTAGGTCAACTTTGCTGGAATGGACCTGCCCAACATATTTGCATGAGTGGTCTCTATTCACCCATATATCTCTCCATTAAATGACTCAGGGCTGCATTTTAGCTTGAAGTGACTACACTAGTCTACTTGTGTGTCAGACCACTTGCAGTTTGTCGTTCAAGTCGCTCGACTGATCGATTGAACACTCTGCCTTCGAGCGAGGAGGAAACCGAACGAGGCTACGCCGAAGGGCGGATTCTCTTTCAGGGAGGTAAACCGACCCTGAACCCGTTTAAACACTTTAACTTTTATTACTTTTTGTGGAGTTCAATAAGAAGCAGAATGTCTAAAAAGGTTTTCATTTCGTCAAAAAAGCGATGTGCTTCCTCGTGTTTACATACAAGAAGACACCAGCATTTTCTTTCACCTGACTAGAAAGTCTAATTAACAAATAAAGTTATTATTTCATCATTTATAAACAGACGAAATAATTCACCTTGAGCAGCCATGGATGATAGTAACCGCTCGGTACCTCATAGTCATCATCACTTTCCTTCACCTAGTTAATGTCTCTCGACCACTTCACCATCAATATCCACTTCATTGAAGTCTTCAAAATCATCATCAGATCTCTCATAAATCTCATGGTCATCATCAGATCCCTCATAAATCTCATGGTCATCATCAGATCCCTCATAAATCTCATGGTCATCATCAGATCCCCATAAATCTCATGGTCATCATCAGATCCCTCATAAATCCATGGTCATCATCAGATCCCTCATAAATCTCATGGTCATCAGATCAAATCCATGGTCATCATCAGATCCCCTAAATAACCATGGTCATCATCAGATCCCTCATAAATCTCATGGTCATCATCAGATCCCTCATAAATCTCATGGTCATCATCAGATCCCTCATAAATCTCATGGTCATCATCAGATCCCTCATAAATCTCATGGTCATCATCAGATCCCTCATAAATCTCATGGTCATCATCAGATCCCTCATAAATCTCATGGTCATCATCAGATCCCTCATAAATCTCATGGTCATCATCAGATCCCTCATAAATCTCATGGTCATCATCAGATCCCTCATAAATCTCATGGTCATCATCAGATCCTCATAAATCATGGTCATCATCAGATCCCATGGTCATCATCAGATCCCTCATGGTCATCATCAGATCCCTCATAAATCTCATGGTCATCATCAGATCCCTCCATGGTCATCATCAGATCCCTCATAAATCTCATGGTCATCATCAGATCCCTCATAAATCTCATGGTCATCATCAGATCCCTCATAAATCTCATGGTCATCATCAGATCCCTCATAAATCTCATGGTCATCATCAGATCCCTCATAAATCTCATGGTCATCATCAGATCCCTCATAAATCACATGGTCATCATCACTTTCCTTCACGTTCCTAGCATAGTTATCATCTCCCGACCATTTCACCATCAATATCCACTTGATTGAAGCCTTCAAAATCATCATCAGAGTCCAAATCAAATAAAAACTGAATAAAAACTTTGTTGGATGTTGATGCGGCCATTTTTTGTTTACAAAAAAAAAAAAATTAACATGGGTTTAATCAATGTTACACCTCATGTCTAAAAGAATTCAAAATGGCATCAGGAAACAAATTTAGCCTCATCCCAAAGCAGTAGAAGGCAATTTCCAGCTTAAAATACCGGAAATAACAGTTGACAAGTGTGTGTTTATAGCAACCGTCTCAATGCAACAGAATGCACCTACAGCTGCAAAAGGAGAGAATTCTACAGCAAAAATTTTCACCTCCAGCATTTTAACGGTTAAAAATGGATATTTTAAAGGCATATATTAACATACACAAATTTAGATGTGGCACAAGGCCGAAAATATGGGGCACCTAGGGAGGATAGAACTCACTTCTGTCAATTTATCTAGCAAGACAAGCTCACTAACCCTTACACCACATTGAAATGCCCATGAAATGATTTTCTAAGCATAGCTTAGATCTGGCACAAGGCCGAAAGTATGGAGCACCCAGTGAGAATCAAACTACCTATTCAGTCATTGATCTAGCAAGACAAGTTTGTTAACCATTACACCACAAAACCAAAACAAAAATCTGCTTAACAACTTAAAAGCAACGTTCCCTTGTTAGGCAGAAGGAATAGTTGCAGAGTTTAAATGGAATTTGTTTGTGATTTATATTGCTAATGCTTCAGGCAACGCATTATCCAAGAGATGACATAATTGCCTATCATCCAGTTCACATTCCTCCAGTCTTTCGAACAGGAGTAGAGGTTTATCCCTTGTTTCCTGTTTAGGATTGGGTTTCTGGTTCAATCATTCTCTTTCACTTCCAACAGCAACTCCTGCATCTTAGTGGCATTATCGACTTACCGTCAATTTGTAACTGTATGCCAGCTTAGTATTTGGGTCCCATGGAAACAACAGGGAAGGAGGATTGACAACAATTTTGTCGTAGATTTCAACTGTCTGTTCCGTTCTCAATGATCTTTCAAGTAATCGTTCCTCATCCTGAAAGAGAAAAAAATAATGATTTTGGTAAAATTCAGATTCTTCCTAAAAAGTTTTTCAAATTAATGAAAACAATGGAAAGATTCTTTGAAGGGAAGGAGGAGGAAATGGAGCGTCGGGAGGAGGAGGAGGAGGAAAAGGCCGGGAGGAGGAGGAGGAGGAAATGGGCGTCGGGAGGAGGAGGAGGAGGAAATGGAGCGTCGGGAGGAGGAGGAGGAAATGGAGCGTCGGGAGGAGGAAATGGGGCGTCGGGAGGAGGAAATGGGGCGTCGGGAGGAGGAGGAAATTCTGCACATCAAGTACTTCTGTTCACGATTTTTGATGTGATTTCTTTGTTCAATGATATATAACACTTTATTACTTCAATAATGGGTCATCTGATGCCAAAATTGAATTTTCTTGGGAGATTTGAACTAATAAAATGTTATTCTGCTTTCGCACTTGAATACATGGTAGATGATACTCCAAAAAGGAGGGGGGCTCAATGGCAGAAGAATAATAGTGGTATACAAAGAAAGACTGACCTTGACAAGCAAACCTTTCAGTACTCCCTCAATTTTGGTCACGCCTTTCTGCAGTGGACTGACATGGAAATAAGAACCATTTTTCGTGTGATGAAGAATTCGAAAATACTTTTCTGGGAATAAAGCTTCAATCAGCAGATTCTGAAAGAAAAAAAAAAAATTAGAATGTTAAAAAGAGAAAAGAAATGAAAAAAATTCCCCCACCCCAAAAAAAAAAAAAAAAAAAAAAAATCATTTACAATATGTAAATAATAATAAATTTAAAATTTCATTTCTATAACTTTGAGAGCCATCACCAAAAGCTGTATAAAAAAAAAAAAAAGCAGGCTATATCTCATAAGCATGAATGCAGGTTATTAGAAGAAAGAGGGTACAAATAAAAAATGCAAAATCACAAAGATTTACAATTCACTGAAGCAGACATTAAATGCATGCGTGTTAGCATCTCTATGATCCTTATTATGTTCTTTTTCTCACTAAAGCCAAAATTTTCCTCAAAATCAAATTGGAATGGTCCATTATTTGTCCAAGGTAATGGCAAGACATAACACACATACTAACTTACTAATGGAGATGAATTACAAAATGCCTAGTCGAGACATGAACACCAAATGGAAACTTCTGACTGGAAAAAGTACAAAAAAAATAAATATATAATATATATAAGTAATACAGTTTTTTTTTTTTTGTTGTTGTTGTTTTCTTTTGTTATAACTACAGTGCTCTATTTTATAAAAAAACAAAAATTGCGCATTTCAGCAAGTGTTTTTTTTTTGTTTTTTATTAATGGCTATCTCAATTCCAGCCAAGGTGTTATGTATACTTCTATACAAATACCCTTGGGAAAAGAAAGTCTCATTTCATTTTTTTTTTTATTACTTGTGTTGTTGAGAAAGAACACAACCATGTCTGAAAATTCAGATTTTTTTTTAAACCTTTTTCATAGGCACCTCCACGAAATCGCTAAAAAAAGAGCATAGCTTGATGAAAAAGACGCCAAACTTGCCGAAAACTAAATTTTATTGTCTAAATGCTTATGTTATTATTAAGAGGAAAGACCAAAGTTTTTTTTTTAATTATTTTTAAAAAATTTTCCTTCTTTTTAGAATATTCTAAATTTTGATTAAAAAAACCTTTTTCTATTTGTATCAGCGGAACTAGTAAATAACATAGACAATTTTAGCACGTTTTTTGGTATGACACATTGATTTGAAAAAAAATTGTGCAAAAAATAGAAATAATTATCGGATGTTAATGAAACTTTCAGAAACTATTCACAGATGATCGAAATTATTATAAATATGTTTTTTATGAAAGTCATGGTAGAAATATTTTTTTTAAATATTTATTACCCCCCATAACTAATTTTATGAAAACGCTAGAAATTGATTGCATCGGTTTTAGTGATTACAATAATTAAAAGCACAGGGCTTTGAGGAATGCAAATCATGTTTTTTTTTTTTTTTTAATTGGATACGCAGTACCTGAAAATCAGCTCTGAATTGTAACATACAAAACTCAATAAAACAAATATATTATTTAATTTCAAATGCTTTTATTTGCTTTTAGTTGATTTTATGAATATGGACAATATTTTCTGAAAGCAAAAAAATTTTTCGATGAAAAATGAATTTTTAATACAATTATTTGTTATTTCATTAATTATAATAGATTTTACATTTAAGTTGTTAAAATATTATAAAATTAGTTAAAAGTCAGATCGACTTTCATAAGTGTCCTTATGAGATAGATCTTTTTTAGCGTTGTAAATTGTATAATTTTGACTAATCAGAAGATACCCAGTAATTAAGAAATGTAATTTTTGTGCTTATAATCGAGCTGTAATTATAAAATACGGAAGACCAACCAGAATATAATTAAGTTGCGTTATTTGAGTTAAACATTGTTCTCCGCTGTTAAGGCCTTTACTTTTGCTAAACACGTGTGGAGAAGTTAATTTGATTTTTCAATTTCAACTGAGAAGGGTACCTACAAGTATCAGTATCATCTTATGAAATTTATATGATCTTATTTTTATATTAATCTCAGTTACGACATTTTTTCCATAAATGAAATATCAAAATTAATAATAAAATGAATGCAAATACAAATAACAGTAGAATGTAATAAATGTACATAAAATTACAGTATTTTTATGTACAATTCTGATAAAATTTCATAAGAAAGGTACCTATAAATTAATTAGATACCTTTCTTAAGAAATATGAAATTTAATGTCACTCTTAACAGTTTTATTTTAATTTCTTTACAATATATTTCCCATAAAGCATCATCAACGTAAAGGTGAAAGCTAAGTACAAAAAAAAAAAAAAGATTAGACCGCTGAAAGTTTTCGTAAAAAAATAACGGGGTAAATAATTTGTTCACGTAAATGTAAATTATTTCACTTTTCTCCTTCCGTAGAACAAATTAGCCTCATGGAATTCGTAAATATATCATTCATCACATGTCAAGAGACGCGAAAGTTTATGACCTGCTTTGTTTTATTTTCAAATTACATCTTTTTTGGCACAAAAAGCTATGTTTGGTTCAAAATATTTTAAATAAACATTATAATTTCTGATTTTCTTAAAATAAGTTTTGAAAAAATGATAATTGATATTTAAAAAAATTTCAAAAGTCAGATTTCCATTTTTTTTAAAATGGAAAAAAATGGTCAATTTTGCTGACTCAAAAAAACTAGATTTTTTAACGAAAATTTCGGACGTGCTAGGAACGATTAAAAATGGAAAAAAATACCCCCAAAATACTTTGACCTTTCCTCTTAATAATAACAAACATTTAGACGATAAAATTTTGTTTTTGTCAAGTTTATCTCTTTTTCATCATGCTATGCTCTTTTTTTAGCGATCTCGTGGAGGTACCCACTTTTTCATCATCCATTTGATCAAAAAGGCCTAGTAATATGCAAGCGGCATGGTGGAGTAATATGCAAGCGGCATGGTGGAGTAATATGCAAGCGGCATGGTGGAGTAATATGCAAGCGGCATGGTGGAGTAATGGATAGCAACTTTGATTGAGGAATCGGAAAGCCATTACATGCTAATACTAATACTCTTGGGAAAGGTAAGAAACCTCTTCTTCCCCCAGCTATGAGCAAATAGCAGGACAGACCAGGTCCTGGATGGCAACTGGTCTACTGCAGGAAGAAATGGCAACCTACTGCAGGAAGAAATGGCAACCTACTGCAGGAGAAAAAATCTGCCTCGTCAGTCATGTATAGAAAGATATATGATCGCCTAAGCGTGTATCATGCATGGTACATAACTGACTGGATATCATACTTATTATAAAACCCAGGTTGTGCGTGTGTGTGTGTGTGTGTGTCTGTACGTTTATATATTGGATCGGATTTCCTACATTTTTCAACCGATTTCAACAAAACTTCACAGGACGACATAAAATTACCTTGCGGTGGTTCTGACAGTGCCAAAAAATTGGAAAAGCACAATTGTTTTTGCATGAAATCAATTTGAAAACACGATTAAGAGGCATCGCGAGAATGAAAGGGGGACAACTCATATAGAGTTATACTTATTATAAAACTCAGGTTGTGTGTGTGTGTGTGTGTTCGTTTATATATGGGATCGGATTTCCTACATTTTTCAACCAATTTCAACAAAACTTCACTTTTTTTTAGGCAGGTAGTGTTTCTTATTGTCTTGCACACTTTTTTCTTTATTTTTACATTCAGAATGCTTTAAAAATTCCATTTACAAGACAATTGTTTATAATAAAATTCTATTCAATCAGTAGACTCATAACGATTGAAAACAATGTTTTTGTTCGAGTTTGGGTTTGACCAATTCATAAAAAAAAAAAACTAATTAAGACATGTGTGTCCATCAACCTTAAACAATAATCTTTGTCAATTTTATTTTTCAGTCTTTATGATGGTCGATACTTGATCTATCTCTTACTGTTACATCCCCGGGCAAAGCCAGGCTCTACTGCTAGTGTGTATATATATTTTAATATCTTTTCTGTTTATATGTTATTTTTATAAATACAAATATTTAAATAAATGCCACAGAAGAAGCATCTGGTTAACAAGGTCAAATTAATGTTTTTAAAAAACAAATTTCTTCTGTAGCTAAATGGTACAGCCCATCAGGCTATATGGCAGTTTTGTGTAGGATACTGGTTCAATTCCTGTCAGAAAACACACATTTTCTATGAAAATTCCTCAGAAATTTAGTCCAGTAAATGATATTAATACTGTTTATTATAAACAGAACATTTACTTAAATATTTGTATCTATAAAAAATAATGTATAAACAGAAAATACATTAAAATAATTATTAGACTTATTCAATTTCATATATTTTTAGTGTATTGAGGCAACAGATCATTATTTAAATATATTATTAAATATAACAGACAATGAATGTCTATGTCTCATCATGAGCTGTTCAAATGTTTGTATTAATTTCTGGTGAAAATAAAGACAAAAATTGTCCAACATTTGGATATTTTTTTATTAAGTTGGTCCTAAGTTTTCAACTCACATAAGCCATCTTCAGGGTGATTATGTAGACATGAAACAAAGATATCCACCATCAAAGATGATATTTTGTTATCTTGACATAGAAGATTGCTATGCAATATGATATGACATCATAGAAGTCTATTTTTGAACATAATTCTCTTAGAATTTTGAGTTTTTGTTTATTATTATCTTGATGAAGCAATGTATAAATGTTATGATGGACGTAAATACGGTGATGCTACTGTTCCCTATGGCAGTGAGCACTTTTTTCCACACACCAGCAAGCCTTTTCCAGTGGAATTTTAAAATTTTTTTAGTTTCCAACTATTTTCAATCTTCACCAGATAGGTTACCCCCCCACCCAATGAGTTTGGTTCGCTCACCATGGTAGGATAAGGGTACCTATTTTATGAAATACAGCCCCCAACCACCTGATGATTGCCTGAAAGCACATGAAACTCATAGTCGTGGTCAGCCACAGCCTACCTGAATTCTAAACTTAGACATTCATCTTATTAGAGAAATTTATGTGCTATCAGGCAGGATTTGAACCTACATTCCCATGGTGGAAACCATCATTGGATCCGACGTGTTTTGACCTCTCATTAATAAAGAGTGTGCCGATGAGAAAGCAAAGCAAAATAGCATCTTTAAAAAACAGATTTTTTCTGACACTTAGACATATCTGAACTGTTTTGAAACTGAGCAGATAAGATTTCATGAATACTCAGGCCAGTAGACTAAATTAAATATACTGTTTAATAAATAAACAGAGCATCTACTCAAATACAAGTATCCACAAAAATTAACATTTAAGAAATAAAAATATTTAGGATTTATAAATGAAAAATATAAACCCGTGTATGCGTGCGTGGTTAGAACATTCACTTTCTTTCCAACCATGAGGCCCCGGTTCAAATCTCACTATGGGCAATTTTCCAGGAAGATGAATCCTTGATGCTATCAGACTGGGGAGGCAACCCCAGTGTGAAAACTACACCATAGGCTGATCCCAGCCTTGTAAGTGAAATTGAGTAGACAAAAACGTTCGGAAGTTATCGGTGATTGTGCCAGAACAAAATCATCGTAACCAATTGCTTGAGCTTACTGACATTGTTCAAATTGCTGACCACGCCAGATTATGCACTTTCACCTAGAAACTGTAACTATTGAAACACAAATATATATAATATATATATATATATATATATATATATATATATATATATTTTTTTTAAGCATTACGCCCAGAGCAAGGCGTGAAGCCACTAGGATGCAGGGGGTTGCAGAAGATTTGGAGCGAGAGCAGATAGGAGAGATATAAGAAAGGATGAGAAGGATAGTGGGTGGATCAAGATAACTGGAGATGTCGATTGACATTACATTTGAATAGTTGGAGATTATAGCTCTCAGTGAAACAGTAATTGAGAAGGGTGTTCCACAGGCGAGAGGTGCGAGGTATGAAGCTATTGGAGTAGAAGAGACGGCTACATTTAAAAGTTTCTACAGTGTAAGGGTGGGAGCGGGGATGCCAGCCTCGTAGGGCGCTTGAATTCATGGAGTCTGGGGACCAGTGAAAGCAGCTCATCGGAGCAATTACCATGAAAATATTAGTAGAAAAGACAGAGAGAGGTGACAGCGCATCTGTGAGAGAGTGACTGTAGACGAGATGCCAGATCAGGGCCAATTATATTACATATCCATCTCTGGATCTTGTCAAGAACTCAGAGATAAACAGACCATATATGGCAGCAATACAACATGCAAATTTGTATATTTGAAGTATCGATTCCGGGAAGAAAAATTTCCTGGCGCGGCAGAGAGAGCCAACTTTCCTCACAGTGGAAGAAGCAATTGACTCAATGTACTTGTTCCATCTCAGGTAAGCAGTCAACATGAGACCGAGCAGATGCAGGGATTTGCTCTCAAGATGTTGACTATCAGACATTCTAATGGGGGGCAGGGAAGGATCTCTATGGTGATTAATGTAATGTAACAGGGATTGGCTAACTGCGCAAACAGACAAGTGTGCTTAGAAATACATATATCATCAACTCTTGCAGTCATTTCCTTTGCTGGAATCAATTTGGAATCAATTTGCAAACTAATAAAAAAAAAAAAAAAAGGAGACTCCATTATTTTTTTTTTAAAATCTCCTTTCAGCAAAAAATTTATACAGCAAAAATTTCAGATCAAAAATTCAGTTAATAACTGTCTGGTTGCAAACTTAGAGATCCATCATCACATATAATGTACACACACATTGGCACTTTGATGTGATGCAATGGTTTGCAAGCTAAGTGCCGAGGGTGCTTCAGTAATTTTTCCACAAGATTTGCATTAAAACCTTGTTTAAACTCCCTTTTTTCTACAAATATTTTTATGTAAACTGCTCTGACAAGCTTTTTACTCTAATGACCTGATTACATGAATTCAAGTGTCTACTAGATTGGTAATTAGGTCCCACTCTTTTTCTGATGAAATAGCTAAATGCAACCACCAACAGTTTCTCTTCTTGCACTTCCCACCCATTTGCTTCCCTGATAATGAAAATCTTCAAAATTTTAAATGCAACATCAATCGCCATCATCTGTCTTCTTAAATCCCGTTCATCTTTGGTTCTTTCCTCAAAACCTCCCTATAAAGAGAAGAGAAGAAAAAGAAAAAGAGAAGAAAAAGAAAAAGAGAAGAAAAAGAAAAAGAGAAGAAAAAGAAAAAGAGAAAAGAGAAGAGAAAAGAAAAAGAGAAAAAAAGAAAAGAAAAAGAGAAGAGAAGAAAAAGAAAAGAGAAGAGAAAGAGAAGAGAAGAAAAAGAAAAGAGAAGAGAAAGAGAAGAAAAAGAAAAGAGAAGAGAAGAGAAAGAGAAGAGAAAGAGAAAGAGAAGAGAAAGAGAAGAGAAAGAGAAGAAAAAGAGAAGAGAAAGAGAAGAGAAAGAGAAGAAGAAGAGAAAAGAGAAGAAGAGAAAGAGAAGAAGAAGAGAAGAGAAGAAGAAGAGAAGAGAAGAAGAAGAGAAGAGAAGAAGAAGAGAAGAGAAGAAGAGAAGAGAAGAAGAAGAGAAAAGAAAAAGAGAAGAAAAAGAAGAGAAGAAAAAAAGAAAAAGAGAAGAAAAAGAGAAGAAAAAGGAGAAAAAGAGAAGAAAAAGGAGAAAAAGAAGAAAAGGAGAAAAAGAAGAAAAGGAGAAAAGAAGAAAAGAGAAAAAAGAAGAAAAGAAAAAAGAGAGAGAAAGAGAAAAAGAAGAAAAGAGAAAAAGAAGAAAAAAAGAAAAAAAGAAAAAGAAAAAAAGAAAAAAAGAGAAAAAGAAGAAAAAGAGAAAAAGAAGAAAAAGAGAAAAAGAAGAAAAAGAGAAAAAGAAGAAAAAGAGAAAAAGAAGAAAAAGAGAAAAGAAGAAAAGAGAAAAAAGAAAAAGAGAAAAAGAAGAAAAAGAGAAAAAGAAGAAGAAAGGAGAAGAAAAGAAAAAGGAAAAGGAGAGGAAAAGGAGAAAAAAAAATAACTGACACAGTATATCACATTTAGTAGCAATGTGGGCGCATGGAAAAATATGCATACACACACATTTGTGCATAAAAATAGGTTTCTGCTTAACTTATACAACTTGTCCATCCAGTTAATCTGAAATCCTATCCTGAGAGTACACATGAAAATCCTGCTAGAATTTGATCCCAATGCTTCTAAGTTGAGGAGCTGTTTTTTCTTTATGCACAAATATTTAAGAAAAATGGTTTCTTACTTCTGATGGGTAAATTTTGTGGTTATCAGAATCATAGATTTCAAGGTAAATATCATATTCGCGATCAGTTTCCAGTACCCACTTCTTATACGGCAGAACAGCAAAGACTGTAAGAAGGAAAGAAAAAAAATATTACTTTTGACAGACATTTAAACAAGACAATATCTACTGTGTTGCTATAATAGGGTCCTTTTAGCAGTCACTGCTACCATGGATATTTGGATGCTTACATGTCATCAATGTTTTTTGCTCATCACAAAAAGTTTTTTTTATTAAATTTCTATATAAAGATTACTTAGGCATTATTTTGGTAAATAAAATTAAATTTATTAATATATTCCCTTTTACCTTGGATATTTGAACCCTTACATAATGTCATCAATGTTTTTGTTAGTTACCATTAGAAATTGCTATAGAAGACTACTTAGGCCTTAATTTGGTAAATAAAATTAAATTTGTCTATATTTCTGAGATGAGGTATTATGTACATTATTCGGACTATTGTCCTCATCTTTGTCGCCATATTTATCACAACATTTCGGCCATTGTACACTCCAGCCTTCTTCAGGTGGTTGGAATTTTAAACTGCACCCTTTATTTCGATCACTGGGGTAGACTGTTCTAGTTCCACGTGCCATGTTTGATGGATGTCAGTTATCTCCTGCTAATTTCCCTCTGAAAGTTCTCCACTGCCTTAACCAGGTATTGAACTCACACTCTTCCCTTCTACCTTGGATATTTGAACCCTTACATAATGCCATCAATGTTTTTGTTAGTTACCATTAGAAATTGCTATAGAAGACTACTTAGGCTTTATTTTGGTAAAGAAAATTAAATTTATCTGGAAAGGAACATTTATTGGGAACAATCTGCAGACAAACAGAAAATGAAGTACACGCAAAAAAAAAGAAAAAAAAAAAAATTTACACCTTCTCCCCACTCCCCAACCAAAAAAGAAAAGAAAATGGACCAACCAACCAAAGAGGTCAATGTACTGGCACCAAGTTTTCTGGAATTTTTAAAGCAGTGCTCTACTTTTTATATATATATATATATATATATATATAAAAACAAAACACAAACACAAAAATGCTATAAATATAATAAATATTATTAATCATGATCACTAGACCTTTAAACCATTATGGTCAATATTTTTATTTGTTTTTTTAATTCACCCCAAGCAAGGCAATAATGCTGCCAAGATGCCAAAGGCTACTGGAAAGTGAAAGAGACTGAAAAGACTTTAGAAGGATTTAGAAATCCAATCCTCAAGAGGAAACAAGAGCAGCATATCAACACCTCTATGGGTTATTTAATGCCAAAATCTAAATATTTTGAACGCAATTGTATGCCTTCAACAGAAAATGTATTGCCCGTACCGCTTATAAAATGTTGCCCGTCCTAACCGCTATAAAATGTGCAACCCATTACCGCTTATAAAATGTGTTGCCGTCACCGCTTATAAAATGTGTTGCCCGTCACTTCGCTATAAAATGTGTTGCCCGTCACTTCGCTATAAAATGTGTTGCCCGTCACTTCGCTATAAAATGTGTTGCCCGTCACTTCGCTATAAAATGTGTTGCCCGTCACCGCTTATAAAAATGTGTTGCCCGTCACTTTGCTATAAAATGTACAGAACGATAAAATGGTGTTGGTCGCTGAGGTCTATCAAGAAGGTTAAATTAATACAACCAATTTTTTTTTTTTTATAGAAACCGATCAATGTTATTGTTCTATATACTTATCTATTGCCCAGCAAAGGAATTGAACACACAACCACCAGCTAATAGAAACTAATGTGTTGTTGGAATGGCTTATCTCATCCGTTTTTTTTGTAATGGAGTCTGTCATGGAGCTCAATATAAGTATTTCTTCCAGAGTGTGTACATTCATTTGCCCATCCCAGGTATGATGATAAACTACATCTGACAGCAAGGCCTGTGATCAGGAGGTTTCTAGGAGTATAGAACCACCTCTTAACTGCTGATGTTCCCAGGTCTACCCTGACCCAGGGTGGTAGCATCTGTTAGGGTCCCAGCAGTGGGCAAATAGTTAGCCCCCCCACCCCCAAAAAAAACTGGGATCAAAAACACTATGAAAGTGTAAAAATAGATTTTAATACCAGCAATGCATTTTTGGGAAAAAAAAAATAAAATAAAAAAAATAGTAGCAATACATTTTTAAGGAAAAAATTATTACCAGCAATACATTTTTGAAAAAGAAATATTACCAGCAATAAAAATCTTGTCTGCATTAAATAACCCATTGAGGTTGATATGCCCCAAACCAAACCTTCATTTGCCTGGTGAATCCCTGACAAACCACTTCAATGAAAGTTATCTTCCTTGCACTGTCAACGCTAGCGGGCAGTGTCATTATAACAATAGTGAACTGTTCCATCAATCAGGTTTCCAAAAGACAAGGAGCAAAAAGATTAAATCTATGCAATGGCAAAATGCAGCAATAATTGGGCAAAAAATTTGAAAACTTTGTGAGTTGTTGTTCTGCATACTTATGTATTACCCAGTACAGGAATTGAACTCACAACCACCAGCTAATATAAACTAATGCTTTGTTGTTGTTGGATTGGCCTATCTCCCTTGTTCTTTGTAATGGGTTCTGCCATGGAGCTCAATATAAGCCCATGGTATTTCTTCCAGAACATGTATATTCATTTGCCTGGAGAATCCTGGACAAACCACTTCAACAATCATTAGTTACAGTTAGGCAGCAAATGCTAAAAGCAGTTAGATATATTCATTAGAAATTAATCTACTGTTGGCATGAATAAAATAGGTACATTAATCTATACATAAATAAAACATATACTTACCAATGTAAGCTGGCTGAATGACGTGCATAAGTGCAGATGGTTGATATGACTGCTCACTGTCTTGGATATCTAGACATAACTTAAGGAACAATAAAATAAAAAACTGAGATCAGGTTTAAAGTCAGTGAATTAATTGTTGATAAAAAAGGTAGATAGTATTTTTCCAGAGACGCTAGAGACTGGCAGGAGATGCCCCCAGGCTCCAGACGGGCCAAAGACGCCCACCCGAGCCCAAATTGAAGAACCACCCCCATGCCCAAGTGACAATAGAGCCACCTCATTTTTAAAATTGAGAAACATCAAAGATGTCCCTCATTTCAAAGCAAGTTTCGCTACAGATAAATCCATTAATATTTCTTTAAAACAAACTTTTTTTTTTATTTTTTTTTTTTTTATTCTCTTAGGTGAGGTGTGAAATTTTCTTCTCAGGCTGATAATGTGGTTGTTTGTAAAATATACACATTTTATCACTTATACCTGGAAGCTTTACGAGTGGATAACCGACATATTCAAGAAAGGATACTACGATCTCGAAGTATGATCTCTGTACTTCCAAGCTGAAGGGCTTCAGCTTCTGATGTGGCTGGATTAAAGGACATAATCTTCGGATTTACTACCTCCAAGTAATATTGCGGAGAAGGTAAGTCAATCTCTGGGGAAACAAAAAAAAAGAAATAGATATAAATAAATATACATACGTGTTTTGTGTATCTGACAGAGAGACAGATATGGTAGGTTGTCCGTTAATTTAACAAACTTTCAGGACTTGTTGGGCCAAAATCTTACAAAATAAAACTCTCAGTGAATTAATAAAAGATACGTAGACACAGGATCTCATTTACACAAGTCAAAAGGTAGACATAGATCTGATTTATGCAAAGATCTGTAAACACACAGCCAGAAAGTGGACCATTTTTATTGGGTGGGGTGTTATCACTCTGCAGCGTACAAAGTAGGAATATATTCTATATATATATATATATATATATATATATATATATACACACACAGTGTCCATAAAGTTCGTGTGCACTTTAAGAAATTTATAACTTTGTATTTGCGATAGAAATCTGTAAAAAACATTATAAAGTTTGATGTACCTAGTTTTAGGTATAGCTAAAATAACTAATGTGATTTCATGCCTTACTGTAAATCAATTGGCAAATTTTTTCTGTGAACTGCCAAATCGTATTACCCTTTGTACTGCTAATGATGGAGGACATGTGGAAACTTAAATTCAATGAAACCTTAAAAAAATATAGATTAAATTTCAATAAAACCTTAAAAATATATCACAAATACAAATAAAGTTATAAATTTTCTTAAAGTGCACACAAACTTGTCTATATTATTTAATGAAACAATGCTGCCTAAATACACACACTATATATATATATATATATATATATATATATATATATTTTCTCAAACAGGTTTGGTTAAATAATTTAGACATGCAATGTTTATATATTTTTGGTTTTTTTAAATCATTTCAAATCTATGAATCATTTTCTTGGTAGCTGTAGAAAATTGATTAAGAAAAATACCAAAATTTTCTTTCAAATAGTTTTTATTTTCCCCACAAGTACTTTCATGACGAGACTGAAAGTACTTGGGATATTAATAAAAATTATCTGTAAGAAAATTTTGGTATTTTTCTTAATCAATTTTCTACAGCTACCAAGAAATTGATTCGTGGACTTGAAAGGATTTAAATAAACAGACATAGTACGTAATACTGTAAGAATACTGAAAATTTGAGGAAAAAAAAAAGCTTTAAATTAAATCGAAAGTGAACACCAAGACAAAGATAGATAGATTGAAGGACATAGCAAAAATGATAAAAAATATACTTTTATCTTGTTTTCTCATTTCATAAATAAGGACCTCGCTAGAAGATAGCACTGAAAACCACTTAGGCATCTGGTTAAAGTCAGTGAATTAATTGTTGATAGAAAGGTAGATAGTATTTTTCCAGAGATGCTAGAGACAGACCGGATACCCCCCCCCGCCCCGGTGCTACAGACGGGCTGGAGATGCCCACCCAAGTTGAAGAACCATGCCCAAGAGACAATAGAGCCACCTCATTTTTAAAATTGAGAAACATCAAAGTTGTCCCCCATTTCAAATCAAGATCTGGATAAAGTGAAGCCCAAGGGATGATGTGAAGGGGATTGTGATTTTGGACAGAGACCACAAAGCTTCCTCCCCCTATCACTTGTCGCTGAGGGAGGAAGATAAGGGTGTCGCTGAGGGAGGAAGATAAGGGTGTCGCTGAGGGAGGAAGATAAGGTGTCGCTGAGGGAGGAAGATAAGGGTGTCGCTGAGGGAGGAAGATAAGGGTGTTTGAGGGAGGAAGATAAGGGTGTCGCTGAGGGAGGAAGATAAGGGTGTCGCTGAGGGAGGAAGATAAGGGTGTCGCTGAGGGAGGAAGATAGGGGTGTCGCTGGAGGGGGAAGGAAGAGGAGGAAGGGTGTCGCTGAGGGAGGAAGATAAGGGTGTCGCTGAGGGAGGAAGATAAGGGTGTCGCTGAGGGAGGAAGATAAGGGTGTCGCTGAGGGAGGAAGATAAGGGTGTCGCTGAGGGAGGAAGATAAGGGTGTCGCTGAGGGAGGAAGATAAGGGTGTCGCTGAGGGAGGAAGATAAGGGTGTCGCTGAGGGAGGAAGATAAGGGTGTCGCTGAGGAGGAAGATAAGGGTGTCGCTGAGGGAGGAAGATAAGGGTGTCGCTGAGGGAGGAAGATAAGGGTGTCGCTGAGGAGGGGAAGATAAGGGTGTCGCTTTGAGGGAGGAAGATAAGGGTGTCGCTGAGGGAGGAAGATAAGGTGTCGATGAGGGAGGAAGATAAGGGTGTCGATGAGGGAGGAAGATAAGGGTGTCGATGAGGGAGGAAGATAAGGGTGTCGATGAGGGAGGAAGATAAGGGTGTCGCTGAGGAGGAAGATAAGGGTGTCGCTGAGGGGAGGAAGATAAGGGTGTCGCTGAGGGAGGAAGATAAGGGTGTCGCTGAGGGAGGAAGATGAGGGCTGAGGAGGAAGATAAGGGTGTCGATGAGGGAGGAAGATAAGGGTGTCGCTGAGGGAGGAAGATCTTAGGCTGGAAAATTTCAATCAAGTGGGTAAAAGAGGAGGAATTACAGATCAAACATGTTAATTAGTAATAAAAAAAAAAAAAAAAAGGCAGAAAAAAATCATACAATGACATTAAAAGTAACAAGTTTTCTGTCAAGCACCCACGGGTTGGGTGGAACACCTATTCCCTGGATGGTGGCAGCATGAGGAGCTAATATGAGGAAGTAGCAGGAAAATGAATACACCCACTGAAAGGTACTGGTGTGAGGTGCGAGCAAGCAAAGTGGGGAGAACAAGATGGCAGATTGATGTGTTGCTATCACCATTCCCAGGACACTGTCAGCAGAGAGTTCTGATTGGATATTTGAAAAATCCTGGTAACCCAGATCATGTCAGACTCCACACCGATTTTGGGTGAGAGCCTGGAAACCATACCATAGGTTGGCCCAAGCCTTTGAGTGAAACTGGGTAGACATAATGTGCTTTCTCTCCCAGAAACTGTAACTAAGGTCTGCTCAGCATAGTTGCAGTATAAATGACAGGTGTGATCTGTGGGTGTTGAACAAACACGAAAATGCACCTGAGCAAGCATCTGCAATAGGGATTAGCTAGCCGCCCTAGTAGATGGTATCACTGAATACAAGTGGCCAGCCATTAATGTGTGTGTGTGTGTGTGTGTGTGTGCGCACATATATATATATATATATATGAGGGGTTATGCATAAAGGACAACTAGATATACTTTCAGTATCTGTCTATATTTCTGAGATGAGGTATTATGTACACTATTTACATTATTCAGACTATTGTCCTTATATTTGTTGCCATATTTATTACATTTCAACCGTTGTACCTTCCGGCCTTCTTCAGGAGGTTGGAATGCTGAACTGAACCAGTGAGTGAAATAAAGGGTTCAATTCAATATTCCATCCACCTGGAGAAGGCCGGAGAGTACAATGTCCGAAACGTTGTAATAAATATGGCGGCAAAGATGAGAACAATAGTCTGAATAATGTAAATAGTGTACATAATACTTTAACCGATTTTTACCTGTGATGGTGTTCTGTCTCAGTTGTTCTAACTTGTAAGTGACAACGCCAAACTGCAGGACATGGATAATAGTTGGGTTTATCATCAGATTAGCAATTACCGTCAACACAACAGTAGCAGCAGCAACATTCTGCAAGAAATGACATAGAAGAAAAATAAAAAAAATCCTTTAAGACATCTCGTCAAAATAAGCCAATAGAAAAACATGATTAATGAAAGATTTTAATTTGTTCAAAACAACGTTCATATTATTTAGTCTTCTGTTCCTCCAAAACTGGTAAATTCACATACACTGAGACTGACTTGAAAACATGTTTTTTGGGGTTTTTTCGGGGAGGGGGGGGGTAGCACTTCCACGCTTACAGCACCTGATATTCCCAAGTGGTCACCCATCTAATTACTAACCATACTGACATTGCTTAAATTCTGTGATCATACAGAAATTAGAGGTTAGACATGATGTAGACACAAGCGAATTTTTATGCCCTAGATCAATGGTTCCCAAACAGTGTGGCACGCCTCATAGGCGAGGCCCACCTCATAGGCGCAGCTGAAGCGGATAGCGGGTGAGAAAGAATTAGAAACAGTTTCAAAAAATTCATATGCCAAAAATAAATATGATTTCAAATTTGAAAATATTATCTTGAATTACTTGTAATTGCATGCATGAGTCCCAGTATAAATAATTATAATTATTAACCAATTTTATCATTGTGATATTTTTGCATTATATCAACTATTAAGAATATAGTAACTAGGGGGTCTGCAAATTGGAGGAGAGAGTTATCAATGATAATGTTCTGACTTCGAATCCGTGGTTATCTCCCTTTAACCCTTTGTTTTTTTTTTACTTTTAAATGTACTTTCTATCACAAAATTTGCTGAGGTGCCAACAAATTTTCCTTATGAAAATACAGCATAGAGAAAAAAAAAAGTTTGGGAATCACTGTCCTAGATTATTACTTTACTAGTGTGTTTACAAAAGGTGATTGACAAAGTGCTTATTCCCAGAAAATCATGTTATGACGCATTGCGCAAAACAGAACTGCCATAAACTGAGTTTTCCAGACAAGTCCTAGTATTGAACCCATAGTTGGGGGAGGAGATGAATTGATACCTTTACCAAGGGTATCAACTTCTAATTGAATGTAATGAAATTGACTAGAATTACAGCTACATTTAAACTGCTGTTGCTCAAACGTAATTATTGTATTTTCTAAAATAGATCACTGCAGAAAAAAAAAAAAAAAAAAAAAACTACCTATTAGTTGTGCCCTCCTCACGTAATTATCCAATTCTTTCATCCTTTCTCAGATTTCTCATTGAGATGCTATTACACCATCGACACATACCACACACAAAAAAAAAAAAAATTTATCATTACCTAGATTAAAATTATTTGGACTATTGTCCTCATATTTGGCAAATGTTTAAAAACGTTATGCCAACCAAAAAACAAAGTTCCAAAAGGTCAAACGAACCCTTTATTTGCTTTCACTGAGGTAGACTGTTTGGTTCTTTATGCATGCTTAATGGATGTCAGTTGTCAGTTATAACCTGTTAAAACACATCCAAGTTCTCCACTGCTTTAACCAGGTATTGAACTCAACTGGAACTAGTTCTGGTCTGACTGAGCGTAAATGCCTGGGTTCAGTTCACATTCCAACCACCGAAGAAGACCTGTATACAATGACCAAATGTTGCCTGTAATATGACGACAAAGATGAGAACAATAGTCCGAATAATGTAAATAATGTACCTAATACCTCATCTCAGAAATATAGACAGAATAAAATACAAAATTTGGCAATCTGTAAACGTTATGCCAACCAAAAACAAAGTTCCAAAAGGACGATTATTCCCTTGATACTGGTATTATTTTAACTATTTTCACTCCTTTGTTTTAAAAACGGAATTATTAGAATTGCTATATAACCTAAACACATTGTAGAATTTAGTAGGAGAAACAGACAATACTCAACTGTATTGGAAGTTCTGGTCTGACAACCTTTTTGCCTGTATTGGGTCACCTTCCTTTTGCCTGTATTGGGTCACCTTCCTTTTGCCTGTATTGGGTCACCTTCCTTTTGCCTGTATTGGGTCACCTTCCTTTTGCCTGTATTGGGTCACCTTCTATTTTATATTTACAACATTCTAAAAACTAATGCAATATTTATCATTTACCAATTTTTTTTTTTTTAAGCATTTCACCCCTAGCAAGGCGGGAAACCACTAGGATGCAAGGGGTTACAGAAAATTTAGAGCAAGATCAGATAGGAGTGATAGAAGAAAGGATGAGGGTAGTGGATAGATCAAGGCAACTGGAGATGTCGGTTGACATTACACTTGAATAGCTGGAGATTATAGCTCACAGGGAAACAGGAATAGGGAAGGGAGTTTCACAGGCGAGAGGTGCGAGACATGAAGCTATTGGAGTAGAAGAGACAGCTACATTTAGGAGTTTCGACAGTGAAGGGGTGAGAGTGGGATGCCAGCCTCGTATGGCGCTTGAATTCATGACGTCTGGGAACCAGCGAATGCAGCTCCTCGGAGCGACTACCATAAAAGTATTAATTAATAATACATGTGAAAACAATTTTTTATTCATAAATTTTACTAAATTAGTAAAATGTGATCCAACTATAAAGAAATTCTTATTTACCATTTTATTAAGTTTGAATCAATTGGCAATTAGCCATTCTTGCCAACCATTCCAGTAAACAATCTATTAAATGAAATATGTTTAGACTTTATTACAATTTTAATCTTTGCTTTTTAAAACAATAAACATTGCTGAGGAGTGAAGGTAGTTAAAATAATAGCAGTGTCAAAGAAAAAAACTGTCCTTTTAACACTCCAGTTTTTGGAAGGCTCAAAGATCTAAGTTTGCCAACAATTCTTACCTTATAAGCCGAATCCATGATCCGAGCTTCAACAACTGCACTTCCTGTTTTAATACTCTCGACCAAAACAGTGTCCCCAGTCTTGCCCTGTTGTTCAAGGGGGACAATATGTGGTGGCGTTTGATAGTCGGATTCTCCAAACTTGAGAAACCTTTATTAAATAAAAAAAAAATATATATTAGACTAACCACAGCCAGCATCATAGTCAGAGTTGTCGTCCTCCTAGATGGTTGCCAACCAAGGTTTTAAGAGCTTAGTTTGCTCTACTATTTAATCCATAGCTGGGAGGGGAGTGAGAGATGGATTCCAAGAGTATTTGTGCATAAGTCAATGTAATGAACCCAACTGGAATTCAAAATTTCTTATTCAGATCCACTATCCATTACACCACCTGTTTATCTAAGCTTACAGCACCTGGTATTCCCAAGCAGCCACCCATTTAAGTACTGACCAAGCACATTGTTGCTTAACTTTAGTGATCAGATGAGAGCTTATGTTTCAAAATTATATGGCTATAAATAACTAAAAGTCCAGTAGTCCCAACAACCCCCTCATGTGATTGATTTGGGTTTTTTTTTTTTTATGGTTTATCAACCTTTTGCAAGTTATTTAAAGCCAGAAAATATTTTTAGATTAAAAGAATTTTTTTTTTTTTTTTGAGATAATGGTTTACCAATACAAATCCTGCTACCAGGAGAGGGAAGGAGTGGATTCATACTTTTCAAGGGTATTTTCATGCAAGTGAATGTAACAAACCCAAATGAAATTGGAACTCAGCTCTCTGTCTAACAATTCCAAGCCGCACATACAAGCTTACAGCACCTGGTAATATCCCAAATGGTCACACATCTACATACTGACCAGGCTTTCCTCTATGTGAGTGGGTAATATGTTCAAAAGGTGTCCAAAAACAAAATAGCAAATATTTTCTATACTTACGATAAAGTTTAACTTTCTAAATTAGACACAAGAGATTAATGTGTGTGTGTGCATTATATCTATGCTGGGTCTACTGAGTGTATTATCTGTGCAATGTTTCCACACTCCCTCAGAAGAACATCTTACATGATATAGATACAGCACTAAGTTGTAAGTTTTCAAACTAAGGAAAGAAGGTAGTGTTGTAAAACAATCTTTTTCCTTGTCAATGCACTTAATTCAATAGTGGGTCTTAATCACAGATTGAACATTTCCGGTTAAGGATTGAGTTCCTTCTAAAGTTCTTTTCATTCAATTTCACTACCATTAGCCTCTTTGCATTTTAGTGGCATTATAAATGGGTTATTTAATGCCGACAAATTTTTTATTGCTAATAATAATTTTTTCTTCAAAAATTTTATGGCTAGGAAATAATTTCTGGCATTGAAACCTATTTTTATACTTTCATAATGTTTTAACCCCCTTTTGTGGGGTTAACTATTAGCCCATAGCTGGGACCCAAACAGGTGCTACCACCTCAGGTCAGGGTGGACCTGGGAACATCAGCAATTAAGAGGTGGTTTCATGCTCCTCAAAACCTCCTGATTAGAGGCCTTGCTGCTGGATGTAGTTTATCGTCTTACCCTGGACACAGATGTAATTTATCATCATACGCAAGACAGATGAGAATATGGAACTGTTGTAAATTACGGAATGTTACTAAATAAGCAACATACCCGAGGGAGACCAGAGAACTTGGTGGCCAAATTGAAATGAAAATAAAATGAAAATGAAAAACTGGTTATCAAAGAAATAAAATGAACTAAGATTATTTCAATCCCCCACCACATCCACACAGACGTACTTGAGGTTTTGCTCATCTGCAAGCTGTTTATCGCCCTTGGAGAGAAAACGCCAATGAAAAACCATTCCACTGAGAGTTGTAAAAACATTATCTGAAAAAAGAAAAGAAAAAAAATTTACATTTATCCTCCCTTTTACAATCAGTTCAATTTCCAATAAAATCAATTATTGATACATTCACAATAATATATTAGCAAGTTTTTGAAGACTATTACTAATGTGCTCACTATCAAGTAAATTTAACAGAATTTGTGTTTGCCCTTGGGGAAACAAAAATAATGAAACAGAATTTCATGCCCGTTTCAAAGCGATCTTTTCATACAAATATTGTATAAAACAGAAAAATCAATATCTACTATTTCTCATTCATATATCACTAATTCATGTCTGAAACAACCACTCCACAAGTTAACCCGCACACAGACCCATAATCAATTCGGACATCAACCAACTAAAAAAAAAAAAAAAAAAAAACAACATGTAGGCTATAAAATATTAAAAAAATATGATGCCAAAACAAAAGCAGCAACTGGGTGTAGTGACAGAGGAGGAGAAGCGAGAGAGAGGAGGAGGAGAAGCGAGAGAGAGAGAGAGGAGGAGAAGCGAGAGAGAGAGAGAGGAGGAGAAGAGAGGAGAGAGAGAGAGAGAGGAGGAGCGAGAGAGAGAGAGAGAGGAGGGAGAGAGAGAGAGAGAGGAGGAGGAGAGAGAGAGAGAGAGGAGAGAGAGAGAGAGGAGAAGGAGAGAGAGAGGAGGAGAGAGAGAGAGGGAGAGAGAGAGAGAGAGGATTTAAAGAGAGAGAGAGAGGAGAGAGAGAGAGAGGAGAGCGAGAGAGAGAGAGGGAGAGAGAGAGAGAGAGGAGCGAGAGAGAGAGAGAGGAAAAGAGAGAGAGAGAGAGAGAGGAGAGCAAGGAGAGAGAGAGAGAGAGAGAGGAGAGAGAGAGAGAGAGAGAGGGAGAGAGAGAGAGAGAGGAGGAGCGCCAAGCTGAGAGAGAGAGAGGAGGAGGAAGAGAGAGAGAGAGGAGGAGCGAAAGAGAGAGAGAGGAGGGAGAGAGAGAAGGAGAGAGAGAGAGAGAGGAGAGAGAAACTAGGAGAGAGAGAGAGGGAGAGAAACTAGAGAGAGAGAGGAGGAGAGAAACTAGAGAGAGAGAGGAGAGAGGAGAGAAGAGGAGGAGAGAGAGAGAGAGGAGGAGAGAAACTAGAGAGAGAGAGGAGGAGAGAAACTAGAGAGAGAGAGAGGAGAGAGAGAAAGGAGGAGAGAGAGAGAGAGAGAGAGAGAGAAACTAGAGAGAGAGAGAGGAGGAGAGAAACTAGAGAGAGAGGAGGAGAGAAACTAGAGAGAGAGGAGGAGAGAAACTAGAGAGAGAGGAGGAGAGAAAAGAGAGAGAGAGAGAGAGAGAGAAACTAAAGCGAGAGAGAAAGAGAGAGAAACGAAAGCGAGAGAGAAAGAGAGAGAAACTAAAGCGAGAGAGAAAGAGAGAGAAACTAAAGCGAGAGAGAAAGAGAGAGAAACTAAAGCGAGAGAGAAAGAGAGAGAACCTGAGGCAAGCGATATATATGGAAATATTCAGCTTACCTAAGTCATCATTGGAGCCATCATCATTGTTGCTATGTCTGTGTATTGTTTAATTTATTGTAATGTACTTGTCATCTCCGATGATGGCTTATGCAAGCCGAAAGCTTAGATAGGATTAAAAACATGTATCAATATGGTGATTTTCTTTCGTCTTTCAATGATAATGTTATTAAGCTTATCAGACGATACGAAAGGAATTTGCTTAAAACAGACAAAACTTACCTATATTATTTAATGAAACATGCATTTATTTATATATATATATGCATGCTGTGACAATATTTCATGCCATCCTAGCTTGCCACGGCATGTCAGTTGAGAATCACTGCTACAAGCCATGTGATAAAATTAAATTTACTTACCCTCACTGTCATAGGCATGTACCACAAGAATTTCTGGGGTGTCATCTAGAGATATTAAACGAGTAGTCGTCGATATTGTGATCAAAGAGATGAGGTCCACAATAACATAACAGTGGTGTACTTCATTAGACACTGAAATGAGAAATTAATTAAAATATATTATTAACCAATCAGGATGTAACAGGAGAGAGCTATGAAAGGAAGATTTATTCTCCCATTATGGGTAGTATTATATCCATGATATAATAAAACCGTAATTCATGGATGGAACATGGAAAATAATATATCACATATATCTACACACCGAACAGAGTGTAAGGATAAACAAGGAGGGGGTCTTATATATAATATGGAGATTCTTCTGTTTCTGGAGAAGCCATGTTAAGACTCTACATTCAAACGGGCTGGATTCATCTATGTCTCAGGCAAGGGCATATTCCATAAAGGAGAAACATTAAGGCTTGGGTTTTCCCCATTTTCTATATCTGGGAAGATATATTCACAAGTGAAAACAGTACCATGGAGTTGTAATCTGTTGAGGAGGCAGATTTAGCCTCTGCCTGGGCCTCTTGGCCTAGTCAATAGAAAGCAACTTCTTGGTTTAGCTGCTGTAAACAAACTGAATACTGTTCTGGGTAAAACAATAACCTACACCCAACAGCAAGGCCTCTGATCTGGAAGTTTTGAGGAGCATGGAACCACCTCTTAATTGCTGGTGTTCCCAGGTCCGCCATGACCCAGAGTGGTAGTACCTGTCAGAATCCCAGCTATGGGCAAATAGATAACCCCACAAAAAGGGGATTAAAACACTATGAAAGTATAAAAATAAGTTTTAATACCAGCAATACTTTTTTGGAAAAATTATTACAAGCAATATATTCTTGAAGAAAAAAAAAATCATTCCCTGCAATACATTACCAGCAGTATATTCTTCAAAAAGAAAAGTATTACCAGCAATACGTCTTTGGAAAAAAAAAAAAATTATCAGCAATAAAAACATCTTGTCAGCATTAAATAGCCCATTGAGGTGTTGATATACCGGAAAACAAACCCAACTGAATAACTGACCACTCTCGTCATTGTATCAAGTGACGTCACTTAGCAGTTGTCACATGACCCACGTGACTTATTTCTGCCAAAGGGAAATAATCGCCTTCTGTATCCCCAAAAGGCTATTTTGGTCAGACAGATGGGCAAAATCTCATTGGCAGCTTCAGGGCAGTAGTCACTTTCACACAATCTTCAAACACTAATATTATCAACAAAAAAATGTTTTGTTCTGCCTTCCGAGTACACGTCCAATATAAAACTTTATCGCAATTAAGACTGAAGACAAAATCCTGTTCATCGGCAGGTTTATTAAAAGCCAAAAGGGTAAAAACAAGAAAAAGAAATTATACATATAAGACTAAGTCTGAACAAAAGGGTAAAAAGGAATATGAGAAAAGCATCCAGAGGCCTCAACATAGAGCAAAACCATTTATGTAAATGTATAAAGGAAGGTAACACATACTTTGATGACTTCCCACAAAGGATGGCAGTTACATGAGAACAATGTGCAAGTGGTGAACATATAGTTTTAAAAGAATAGTAGAGAGATATAAATGTAAAATAAATGCATGAAAAGATGGCTACATTAAACAATGGCCAAATAATAACACAAGTGAGACCAAAGCAGAGAGAAAAGGTTTTAGAAGGTTACATACCAGCAATGCTATCATTGTGGGTGGAGATAGATTTATTATAAACATTTATGAGGATAAGAAAAATATAAACCACAAGCTTGGGTGCTTGCTTTTATAGTGCCTGTTCCGGTAATAACTAAGGGTTAACAGGAAGTGGTCAAAAACAGTGACCAATCTAAAATTTAACTGTGGGGGAAAAAAAGGGAGGGCAGAAGTTTTGGTTGATTTTGTTTAGTAGCATATCAACATCTCTGTGGGTCATTTAATGCCAAAATCTAAACTGAGAACAATGTCATGACTTCAACTAAATATATTTTGAATGCAATCGTATATTCATCAAGAGTATTGTTGTTCATTTTTACGTCATAGGACGTCTGGGTCATTTTTACTATAAATAGGACGTCTGGGTCATTTTTACTATAAATAGGACGTCTGGGTCATTTTTACTATAAATAGGACGTCTTCGTCATTTTTACTATAAATAGGACGTCTTCGTCATTTTTACTATAAATAGGACGTCTTCGTCATTTTTACTATAAATAGGACGTCTTCGTCATTTTTACTATAAATAGGACGTCTTCGTCATTTTTACTATAAATAGGGACGTCTTAAATCATTTTTACTATAAATAGGACGCCTTCGTCATTTTTACTATAAATAGGACGTCTTCGTCATTTTTACTATAAAAATGTATTGCTGGTATTTTTACTATAAACAATGTATTTTTATACTTTCATAGTTTTTTTTTGGGGGGGGGGTCATTATTTTGCCCATAGCAGGGACCCAAACATGTGCTACCACCCTGAGTCAGGGTGGGCCTAGAAACAACAACAATTAGGAGGTGGTTACATGCTCCACAAAACCACTAATCTCCCGATCAGAGGCCTTGCTGCTGGATGTAGTTTATTATCTTACCCAGGACTTGTTCTATTACCACAACACAGTCTTTGATAACTAAGTCGTTAAACAATTTATGTTCAAACCCCAGAGGAATTAAATCAAAAAAATTCTGGAACAATAGACTTCAAGGTGTTGTCAACCTAAGCAGCATAAATTTATAACAGATGACAACACAAATCTATGACAGCTATCAAAATATGTAAAATGACAAAAATTTAATGGATTTCAAGGTGAGCAGAATTTTTGCGAAATTTGTATTGCCCCACCCCCAATACATGTCCGTCTCATGTGTACCTTGGACAGATAAATGCTACAATCAAAACTCTGAAGACAAAGTTCTGTTCATTATCAGGTTTATTGAAAGCCAAAAGGGTGAAACTAGAAAGAAAGAAAGAAAAAAAAAGAAACACAAGTGAGACCGATTTAGTCTGAATAACATTCATGAAGAGATTTTGAATCCAATCATCCTTTTTTATGCTCAATGACAGAAAATAAGAGTCGATGTTTTCGGCAAGCGCTTTCAAATGGCGAACCATAATAGAGATCATTTCTTTAATGCAGGGTGTACGCATCGATGGAAACCTCAAAATTACCCAACCCTGCTCTATATTACAACTTACCCACCCACATAAGAAATAAAATGGAAGGGAAAAAAGTATATGACCCGGGGGTTGCAGAACATAATTGAAAGACTGAGTGTCTAAAAGTGAAAAGTGCTGAGTTGTCTGCTGATAGGAATTAGGCTCAGAATAATTTTAGTATACATATATTTTAGTTTTGTCACCTTTTCGTTACTTTCTCTTTAGTACTTATAAAGTTTAGTCTACTGAAATTACAAACTACAAATTGGAAATACAGAAAATCAAACAGACGTATCAATTTAACAGAGGACGTGTAAAGTGTAACATGAAAATCCAAAAGTACATTGGAATAGCCAAAGATGCTCCACTTTTCGTTAGAAACAAAGGTTGCTGAACTGCTATGTAATATCAATCCTCCTATATTGCAATGAATGTTGGACAATTTCCTCACAGATGAAGGGGTGACTTGAAACAAATGTGGTTCTACAGAAGGATGTTGAGAATACCAAGGACCAAACATGTGAACAGTGATGAAATTTTGGAGGAAATTATAAACAAAAAGGATACTTCTACTTTTGATATCCTTCTGGATCTAACCAACCATCAGATAAATTCCATAAGGCAATCAACACTGATGATAAAGTTCGGTTCATCAACTTTTAAGTTGTTCCCAAGCAGAATTCCATCTAAGTACTGACTGGGTTTAACACCACTTAAACTTGGCAATCAAACAGGTTGATTATATATATATATATATATATATATATATATATATATATATACACAATACACCTTCAGGTTAAAACCATGGTCACATATATTAACTGACCTCCTGATTTTTAAAGCTAAAAGCTCTACAATGTTATTTTTATTTTTACATATATTTCTTTTCTCACATGTACTGAGCACTTTTAAATACTGTTTCCTGGTCTGATTCAACTGACTATTAATATATATATATATATATATATATATAAAAATTCTACGTAGGTAGGTTTGCCTGGCTCCTTAGGATTACTTTAGGTTCACTCTACTTAGTGTAATGAGCACTTTACGTAGTTGTCTTTTACCCTTTTTACTCATTTTGGGTTTTTTTTTTTTTTTTTTCTTTGGACTTGGAGCTTAAACACTTGACGATTGTTTTTGGGTCCTTTTTTTTTTTTTTATTTCCCATTTTCCTCGGGTACCGATTTGTTCTACTGCAAGTCAAGCTATCTGAGGTTTTTCCAAACAAGTACCAGCATATATATATATATATATATATATATATATAGAGAGAGAGAGAGAGAGAGTGAGTGAGTGGACAAACTGGGTTCTATAGCCTTGGATGGCAACTGGTCTAGGAGAAGGACAACTCTGGATTCAAAACCTGCGGAGGGTTGTTTGGGGACCTTGTGTCACATAGTGCACCAGGTCTCTGCATTCCACCCTTCAAAAAGTGAGGTTGGTTCTGCACAAAGCCTACACCACTATAATCAAATCATATCTGCTGGTGTCTGGGCTGTTGGTTCCTAGGAACTGAGCTGCTTGACCCTTATATACTGAATATGATGGGAGAGTCCACTATATATATATATATATATATATATACATACACACACACACAATCTAATGTCAGTGATAAATGTGTTGGTATAAACCTATTTAACGTACAAAATTATGTTGGTGATGACCAAACAGGAACCAATGTTTTCAGTATGATCTGAATACCTGAAACATTGCTTTATCTTAAGAGATTGACAGCAAAATCAAATGAAGAATAATGACCAACTTCTCACAAAACTTACGTTTATCTTTGGCAAATATGATAGAGGTCACCCTGTGGTCAGCTTTGGATATTGCAGAGACAGTGGCCTGCAAAGAACATTCATCGTCAGTTAAGACAGAAACGACATCTGAATGAGTGGACCGCCTAGTGGAGAAACAAAATAGATAGGACATGAATCTTCATGAGACAAAAAAACAAAAAATACAAAATACAAAATACAAAATACAAAACAAAACAAAATACAAAACAAAACAAAACAAAACAAAACAAAAAACAAAACAAAACAAAAAACAAAACAAAACAAAACACAAAACAAAATACAAAACAAAAAACAAAACAAAACACAAAACAAAACAAAAACAAAAACAAAACAAAACACAAACAAAACCCAAACAAAACAAAACAAAAAAACAAAAACAAAAACAAAATCCAAACAAAACAAAATCCAAACAAAACAAAATCAAAAACAAAAAAAAACAAAACAAAAATCCAAACAAAAAAAATCCAAAAACAAAAAAAAAAAAAATACAAAAAAAAAAAAAAAAAAAAAAAAAAAACAAAATCCAAACAAAAAAAAAAAAAAAATCCAAAAAAAAAAAAAAAAAACAAAATCCAAAACAAAAAAAAAAAAAAAAAACAAAATCCAAACAAAAAAAAAAAAAAAAAAAAACAAAATCCAAACAAAAAAAAAAAAAAACAAAATCCAAACAAAAAAAACAAAAAAAAACAAAATCCAAACAAAAAAAAACAAAATACAAACAAACAAAAAAACAACACAAGACAAAAAATACAATGAAAATGATTTTTGTTTATCTTTAAACCTCCACTCCTCAGTAGTGTTTTTTGTTTTTAAAAAAAAAAAAAAAAAAAAAAAACGATTAGAACAGTAATAAAAGCTAAACATATGAAAGTGAATTTATACACTTTTCTTCTTGGGAACTGAAAATGAAAAATACTTTATTAGATTATTTATTTACATAACTATATTGTTTATTGGAATGGTTTACAGCATATCAACTTCAATAGGTTATTTAATGCCAACAAGATTTTTATTGCTGACAATATTTTCCCAAAAATGTACTACTGGTAATTTTTTTTTTTTTTCCCCCCCCCAAAATGTATTGCTGGCAATAATTTTTTTCAAAAAATGTACTATTTTCACACTTTCATAGTGTTTTGACACCAGTTTGTAGTCAACTATTTGCCCATTTCTGAGACCCTAACAGGCACTAACACCCCAGGTCATGCTGGACCTGGAAACACCAGCAATTAAGAGGTAGTTCCACGCTCTTTGAACACACCTGATCAGAGGCCTTGCTGTCGGATGTAGTTTTATTGTTTTACCCAGGACAGTTCTTGGAATGGTTGGTAAAACATTGGCTTATAAAATTGTAAATAAGAATTTATAGTTGGTTCACATATTTTAATAATTTAATAAATGTTTATAAATTTAGGGAAAAAAAATTGTTTTCATAGTTATTTCTTTATAAATTGGTAAGTGATAAATATTGCATTGGTTTTTAGAATGTTGTAAAGGTAAAATTATTCTTGTCAATAATCAGAAAAATAAAGTGTTTTATATTTTCTTTTTTGTAAATTTGCAAGAACAAAGAAAATGTATAATTTTACTTTCATCATATATTTACATTTTATTACAAGTCTAAACATCAAATATTGCCGAGGAGTTAAAATTTTGGCATAGTTTTATTGCAGATATGAATGTTCAAATTCAACTGATTTGTTTTTTGTTTTTTTTAAACATGGCAGATGTAAGGAAAAATGGAATAAAAGAAAGCTGAGGATGTCATTTTGAAACATTTCTTACAAAAGATGAGAGGAAAATATTTCTGTTGAGTGGGTTGATTTGGTTTTCTGCTTAGCGTTCGATCAACCACTGTAGTGTTATCAAAGGTCAGATACAGGTTTTGAATCATGCATTTTTTCAAACATTCATCCCTGCATTGAATACTGTTGCCATTCTAGAGACATATGTAATGTGAAAGCATCTTGTCTACAATCACTTTCTCAGAGATATGCAGTGGCTTCCCTCTGTCTTTTCTACAAATATTTTCATGGCAACTGCTCTGACAGCTACTTTCAATGGTACTCAAACAGCATGAATTTAAATGTGCTACTAGGTTAACATCTCAGTCTGGTGCTTTCACTGTTAAAACAGTTAAATGTAACCGCCTCTTCTACCCCAGCAGCTTCTCTTGCACTTCCCGACAGTGGAGCTCCCTTCCTCTTATTTGCTTCATTGATAGCTATAATCCTCAAATATTCAAATGTAATATCAATCGACATCTGATGCTTTGATCTTGATCCCTGTCCTCCTCTTTATCCTTTCCTCGAACACCCTTCTTTACTCTTGCTTTCACTCTCTGTAACCCCCTGTGTTCTAGTTGGGCTACAACCTTGCTTGGGGTAATATGCTATAAAAAAAAAAAAAAAAAAAAAAAAACAACTTCATGTTATATGTGGATCAGTGATAGTTTAATGCACAAGTTGATGACATTTATTTTTGTCAGTTGGTTTCTAATACGCATTATTCTGTATGTAGTTTCTGCTACAAGTTTGTTATTAGAGGTATGGTTTGTTTTTTTTGGGGGGGGGAGCTTTATGAAACCTTGTTATTAGAGGTATGTTTCTTTTGTTTTAGTGGGGAGCTTTATGAAATCTCGTTATTAGAGGTATGTTTTTCATTTGAAATTTTATGAAATCTTGTTATTAGAGGTATGTTTTTTATTTGTTTTTTTTTTTTAAATCTTGTTTAAGAAATGTTTTTTTATTTGTTTTTTTTTTTTTTTTTTTTTTTTTTACTGGGGAGCTTTATGAAATCTTGTTATTAGAGGTATGTTTTTTATTTGTTTTTTTTTTTTTATGAAATCTTGTTATTAGAGGTATGTTTTTTATTTGTTTTGGGTGGGAGCTTTAGGAAATCTTGTTATTAGAGATATATTTTTTTTTTTTTTTTTTTTTTTACTGGGTTTTTTTGGGGAGCTTTGAAATCTTGTTATTAAATGTTTTTATTTGTTTTTTTTTTACTGGGGAGCTTTATGAAATTTTTTATTTTTTTTATTTGTTTTTTTTTACTGGGGAGCTTTATGAAATCTTGTTATTAGAGGTATGTTTTTTGTTTTTTTTTATTTAAGTGGGGAGCTTTATGAAATCTGAAGAGTTCCTTTTTCCTTTCTTTTCAGTTTTCAAAATATATTAAACGGTTTTATGCAGTTTCATTGAAAGTTTTTATAGTTTTATATTTTGGTATAAAGTTAGATTTGCTTTAGGAACTTAAGGTTGGTTGTTTTAGTGTTTCAAGACAGTTCTTTTGTATTGTTCATTTGATATTTTATTCAGACTTGATTGAGCCAAGCACAGAAATGAGATATTGATACAGTAACATTGCAAACCTGTTTGGTTAGGCTTCTACTTAATATTTGACTCAACCCAGTGCAAGAACAGAGAGCCACTCAAGGTAGAGGATTACTGAATGGCATTTCTGTAAAGAGGTGTGTGTATATGTGCATATATATATATATATATATATATATATATATGAAGAAATATATTCTTAAGATGTGCTATATTTATGGGATAAAAGTGCAAATATCAGAGATAGAGCATGTAAATATAAAAGTGAACATAGAAGTCAACACTTAGAGGCGACAGTCTGTTTCATGCTATATGCAATTGTCAGGCCACATGTGCTGTTATTTTTCTCGGCTATTTATATATGTACAAGTGTTGACTTCTTTGTTCACTTTTATATTCATATATATGTGTATATGTATATACGGACACACATACACATGTATATATCTACAAATAACTGAGGCATGTGTTACGAAAGACTACAAACTTCTCGTTTAATAATCTCTTTTCGGTTTTTTTCTTCTTGCAAGTTTTTTTTTTTTTTTTAATATTTGGGACCAAGTTGCCCTTGGTGTATTACAGAGTGCTTTCGGTTATCATCAACCATCATTATGGCTGTATGTCTTGATTTGAAGTAGGTCGTTTATTATTTTATAGATAAAATTTTGGGTATTTAGGCAGTGTTGTTGGATTAGTTCATTAGCATTTGGGAGGGGTGGTATTTATTACTTGGATTAGTTATTAAATGTTTAAGATATTTTTGACAGTATATATATATATATATATATATACTAGCAGTAGAGCCCGGCGTTGCCCAGGGATGTAACAGTAAGAGATAGATCAAGTATCAACCATCATGAAGACTGAAAAATAAAATTGACAAAGATTATTGTTTAAGGTTGACGGACACGCATGTCTTTCTTAATTAGTTTTTTGTTTTGGTTTTTTTTTTGTTTTTTTACAAATTGGTCAAACCCAAACTTAAACAAAAACATTGTTTTCAATCGTTATGAGTCTACCGATTGAATAGAATTTTATTATAAACAATTGTCTTGTAAATGGAATTTTTAAAGCATTCTGAATGTAAAAATAAAGAAGAAAGTATGCAAGACAATAAGAAACACTACCTGCCAAAAAAAAGTGAAGTTTTGTTGAAATCGGTTGAAAAATGTAGAAAATCCGAACCCATATATAAACAAACACACACACAACCTGGGGTTTATGATAAGTATAACTCGATATGAGTTGTCCCCCTTTCACTCTGGCGACAGAATTGTGTTTTATCGTGTTTTCAAATTGATTTCATGCAAAAACAATTGTGTTTTTCCCATTTTTGGCGCTGTCAGAACCACCGCAAGGTAATTTTACGTAGCCTTGTGAAGTTTCGTTGAAATCGGTTGAAAAATGTAGGAAATCCGATCCAATATATAAACGTACACACACATACACAATCTATGCTTTTTAATATTATATATATATATATATATATATATATATATATATATATATATATATATCTTTAAATACTAATGACTAAATTTATTCAATAAAATCCCCATGGGCTTTGACCATGGCCTCCAGACAACTTTGGAATCTCCTACAACTCTTCTGGACAGTCTCCTTGTTTAAGTCAGTGAATGCTACCATAATCCTTGTGTGACACTTAGGCTGTGAGATGGTTGAACATTAATTCTAAACAGGAAAAGAAAGGGTGAAGCCCAAAATGAAATATATGCTGAGAGAGAGTATGGAGACATTTTTATAATAAATAT